GCCCACCACTCCCCCCACGTTAGTTCTCTCCAGAGGGGCGTGCCCCCGCGCGCCCCTCATTATAAAAAAGCTTCGGGTAATTGATTAGGGCTTTCAGGGCAGATCGCCCGCTTATTGAGCACGCCTGTCCGTTCTTAGCAGTGTCTCCCCTGAGCTGGAGTAGAAAGTCATGCCTTTAGTCGCTCGCGGGGACCAGGAAGGGCTGCCGCTGTTATTGTGTAAGAAACGGGATCAACACGCGAAAGAGCTGGCCGATAAATTTTTGCCGCGCGGGCTGTCGGGGTGCGATACAGAGACGCCAGTGGATCGATGCTGCCTCTGCCTTGGGGCTGTGGGACCATAGGGAATGAGGAGATAGCCAAGGCGGTTTCCGATGGCTTTAGGGTTGTTAAGGGGGCTGGGTAAAGGGGGGGGTGTTTGGTGTTGGATTGCGTGTTGTTGGTCAAAGTTAAAATACCAGACCATCATGTTTGTTGTTTATATCACATTGAAGGAAGCTTTTATATCTCGGGTATTCGAAACGTTTATGTCCAAGTTCTATCGAAGGTGGGTGACAGACGGCGCTGATGGTGTTCATGTTCTGCTCATCACCCCCTATCAAGAACACTTTTCTGTTTGGGTTACAGTACCGAAACCGGTTCTCTTGAAGTTTTGTCACGTCTCTTAGGTGAACACAGGAAAATGACCGAGAGGACGAACGCAATATCCTCTGCAGACGATTTTGAGAAAAAATGCCTGATGCTACTACTTTGGCCATCTTCCCTCATTGGGCGAGGTGCTAAAAGTGCTGGCTAACACACTCTTCAAGTCGTGGCGATTGTGGGCAGCAAAACTTGAAGCCTGGTAGATGTAACCACCACTAACACGGTTCAAAAATAACAGATGGAAAAGTCAAAAAGAATATCGAATCAATCGTCCGACGGGAATTGAGCCCGACGTGGGGGTCGAACCCACAACCTTGAGATTTCGGAGTACTCCTTAAGAGTCTCACGCACTACCGATTGAGCTAGCCGGGCGAGCGGGCGAGGCTATACCCATATTTGATGTTTGTTGCCTCTTTCCTACGTCTTATCAAAAGAGTTTGTGTGGTTGTGGAGTGTGGTATGTGTGTGGTGGGTTGGAATGCCTTGGTTGAATGACTCAAGTCCTCAAACCCCAAGCTTGAGCGTGGCTCAGAGCTTACACCCTGTCCACCACTACCCCTTGTTATGCTTGAACTTCAAATCTGTAAGTGTCCCCTCTATTGTCTTCATCAAGTATATACACACCCTCTCAAACACAAGCATAAACTCTGTTTTTTTCTGTAATAGTCTAGGTGTCCCTCCAACATCCATCCGCCCATCGTCAAGACCCCCATCTATTTCGTAACATGCTGAGGCACAGCCGCAAAGGTAGGCCGGACGTATCTACTCTCAATATTAGCACCCTTTTCCCACACGGAAAAAAGAAAAAAGAAAAAAAGACATACCTATCAGAGTTGTAAACCTTAAAGTTCTCCCCCAACAGCTCCTTCTCCCTCGCCTGGTCAGCCAGGTGTCTGCGGACAAGGTCGCGGTCGCACTCGGCCTGGAGCATAGGGATGAGGTGGATGCGCGCCCACATCTTTTCGCGGGCCATTTCACTGGGCGGAAATCATCAGTCTTTTGGGTTTCTTCGAAACAAGGGGCAAAAAAAGGTAAAAAATACTTCATCTCTCTGACACCCACAACAAGCTGGTACCAGCCGTAGACCATCAGGCCTGCCGAGGCGAGGATAAGGTTACGGGGACGGAAAAGGCCGTGGGCGGGGAGGTTGCGCTATAAAGCCAAAAACGTCAGCTCCAGGTCTTGATGTCCTGCGTTCTTCCTCCTCTTGATCCAGGCGCTTCCATGTTGCGGGCGAGCTTCGATGTTGTCAATGTAGTTTCGGCTTCCAGATATACCCATGATTTGTCCCAACCAAAATATTCCACCACCAGCTGTGTGCGTTCGTTATCTCTGAATTCCCGCCGTGTCTCTCTCTGTCCTTCGGTCCTCACTGCAAACAAAGTGTCGAACAGTCTTGCACCCGCCGCCGTCGCTTCCTTCTCTCCGCAGGCCTGGTTGATCCCCTTCAAGAATATTTCTCCGTCATCTACCCCTTCCCGCCACTCAATCCTATCCGCTGCCCCCCAATACCCATCCCAATCTCATCATCGGCCTCGTTGTCCATCCATCGTTGTCGCCCTAACCCCTCACCCCCACCCCTCTGAAAGAGAAAAAACACCAACCTTGTACTGCACAGCCCCATACCCCCCAACAGGCGGCATATCCTGCGGCATCTTGGGCAATCTTTCTGTTTCTGTCCTCCCTATTCCACCTCGTCAACTGTTGCCCTCCTGCTCCTCCGGATTCATTCACTCGTCCTCGTACCTGAGTGTTTTCGCTTTCTTCGTCAATCGGAGGTGCCCGCCCAGCAAATCGTGTGTTACGGCGAGAGGACGGTTCTTGGGGGCCGAGCGAGGGTTGGTGTTGTCTGGGTAGTGTCTTCAATCGGCGATCAGGAAAGCTTCCCCCAGAGGTGCTTGGAATTGACGACAGCACTGGGTTCGGCGCACGGACCATTATTTGGCGGGGAGCCTCAGCAACAAAGATTACGTAACGCTTGGCATCGCAGATCTGCGCACGAACCGGCTCAGGATTGGCCAATTGCTCGAATGCCATTTCCAACATTCACTGTCAGAACACGAAAATCATCTCTGAAGAGCCTAATGAAAGATAGATGGTTGTAAGGGGTATATTTCCTCCCGAAATTTACTCAAGACAACAAAGAACGAAAATTAATAAAAGAATCTCTGCCCAAAATGCATCAATGCAGCCACGACGCCCGCTTTGCCTGCTCACAAGAAACAACCTCCACCCCCCCCAACCCCCAAAACCCAACCAACCCAAAACCCAACCATAAAACCCCCGCCGAGAGTGGAAAATACCAAGTAAATAGCTATGTACAACAGAATCACCCCCTTCACGCGGAATTAAACTCCGCCTCCAGATCCGCCGCAAACTCAGCCTCAAGATCAGCCGCCAGAGCCTCCTCGTCAAGGTCAGTAAAGTTCTGCCCCTCCTCCTCCACCTTGTCCTCAACACCATCTTCATCCCCCGTCACCGCCGGTGTAGGCAAATCAGGCGCAGCCTCATACTGGTGCCTCAGCGAAGACCCCCTCGCGCTCTTCATCCTCCTCATCCTCTTCGCAGGGCTGTTCTCCTCACCTTCGTCATCGTTGTTCCCATCCTCTTCCCCATCACCGACATCATCCTCCAACTTCCTCTTTCGAGTCGCCGGACTGCCACTCCGACTCCGGCTCCTCTTCCGACTGGCGCTCGACTCCTCCGATGAGGAAGACGACTCCGACTCATCAGGAGGAGCAAAATCTTCGTCGTCTTCCTCGTCCTCCTCGTCCTCCTCGTCCATATCCTCGTCGTCATCGTCATCGTCCGATCCAGACGCAAGGAACTCTGCCAATTCGTCCTCGGCCGACCCCCAGTTAAAGGTCTTCAGCCCGTCGATAGGCGACATTTGTCCTTCCTCCACCTCATCCGGTAGAAGTCCGTCTTCATCGTCGTCTGCATCGTCGTCATCCTGGTCGTCACCTCGAGGGGGTAGCTGTATTTGCAGCTTATTCCTCTTTTGCTGCGGGGTCTTGGGCGCGGTATTGCCCGTCTCAATGCCCCCCATATCTTCATCGTTGTCATCGGATGACTCTTCAGCTTGGCGAGCAGCTCCGACGTTATTAACATCCTCCTTGAAGTACAGATATGGAGTCTCATCCACAGATGTCCACTCAGTAAAGCACTGCGCGAGCCACTCCAGACCGACAACCTTGATATGAGGGTACCGCCTGGCAGCATTGAGCTTGGCCGTTCCTGGCTGAGAAGTGTTTACAACAAGATGCGTCACTTCTTTGCTGACTGTCGACCTAAGCCTGGCGCCAAAGCTGGTGATTTGCTGCCCGATTTCTGACCGGTAAATATCCGTGTTTTGGGGCAAAACACCCGACAAGGCGATTTGGTGCCCTCTAAGCACCTTGGCCTTGAGGTTGTTGAGCAGGTTCCCTACATCAGGCACATCCTCGCCAATGGTTCGCTTCGACTTCTTTTGATCGTAGCTAGCATAGTAAGCCTTGTGTAGTTGCGTGAGGTGTTTCTCCAAAAACTCGAGTTCCCTGTCGTCGTCCAAGAGGACCTTGTGTCGCTGTGGTGGTGGCGACGAAGATCGAGACGAAGCACTATCATCCGAGTGGCCCGTAGCCTTCTCCGCCTCCTCATCCTCCTTGTCCTGCTTCTCCTGAAGTAATTGTAGCGGTCGTTCATTAATCTGCTTCTCCAGCGCCGACTGCTGTTCCTCAAGCTGTTCCTTTGTCACCTCATCAGTATCCTTGCCTGTCGCGACAGCCTTGGCGTTCTTATCGGCCGTCTTCTCCGCCTTCTTGACACCATTCGTCGACGGCGCCGAGGTGAGCAAATCCTGTCTCTTTGGCAAAAAGCTCGCGTTAATATCGCCGATTCCCTTGAAGAACTCGTACGGGGTGACCTTGACGAGGTTGGGCCTGTTATGCGGCCAAACGTCGGATCTGTCATCGATAATCACCACCATGTTGGTGCTGACAGGGAATAAGCGCTGCAAACTCTTTGAGTACATGTTGCCGTTTTCGTCGCGACTAATAACTCGGTTGCCAAACAACTTCTTCTCCGGGTCGATAACACGCGCCACGTTTTGCGCGTAGGCGCGAGTGCCCATGGTGTAGACATGCAGCTCGTACATGGTGGAAATCCGCTTCAGGAACCCCTCCAAGCCCGGGCGCATTTTGATGTAGTACCAACATTTCCTCACCACCGCGTGCGGTCCGTCATCCAGCTGAAACGTCTTGACATTCTTGACCGAGTCGTAATTTGGGTTCGTCGGGTCCTTCATCCACTCCCCCACCGTGGGATCAATGCAGGCCTGAATAACCGTCTGGTCCAAATCCACCACCAAACTGAGCTTGCGGCTCTCCAGCAATCTCTTCTGCAGCTCACGCTCCGATTTTTGGGCGTGGGTGCTGCTGACGGTGAGGTTCGTCTGGTCGTGCACCATGCTGATGGGGGCGCGCTCCGTGTCGCGCGTCTCGGCGGCCCAGTTGGCCTCGGTCATGTCCTTTCCGCAGATGGCGCAAAGTCCCTGGAACTGGATCTCGTGGGAACAGTCCTCGTCAATCAGCACGCAGGGTCCGTCCTGCTTGATGACCTGACCCTCCTTGATGCTCCAGGCGTTGAGGGTACCATCCGAGGGCGAGCTCCAGTCCGCGTAGGTGGTTTGCTCCTCCTCCCACGTCTCGCCGCGAATGGTGTCGCCGACTTCCTTGTACCATTTGAACGAGTACTCCATAAGCGCATCTTGCTTTTTGACCGTGTCGCCGGGGTTCTTGAGGAGGCGGACGATGGTGATGGGGTACCGCAGCCGGTTACCCAGCCGAATTGTTTTGGTTTTCCCCATTGTTTGGGGTCGTGCGCGTGTTTGTTCTGAAAGGATTGGTTTTATGTTCGTGAGTCGATGAAAGGTAGTCGGCTGTCGAGTGTATGATGGGTCAGCTTTTGTTACCTAGTTCGAGGGACTGTTGCTGCTCTGGTGGTTTTGAAGGAAAATGCTTACGAATGAAGCTTCCTGTCTCTACCCATCGCGCGATGACACGCGTGGAACAAGTATTGATGGATGGGTTCGTTGTGTGGTGAAGTTGGGAAGGAAGCAAACAACGGCCAAGTTTCCGCAACTTATGTCCTGGATCGCGACTCCTGTGAAAGCTCACAATCAGTTGCAGCAATCGAAGCTGCAGGTGGTGGGGAGCTATCAGTTCAAACAGGGCCTAGCGTCGTGCAGCTGAGATGGGTGGGTGGTCCAAGCTTCTATAAGGATGCTGATTGGTCTGTCGGAATTCTGAGCAAGAGACGCTCGAGCCACTTTGCGCCGCCGGAGATATCAAAATGAGCAAGCCGAACGTGTGTCAACGGTATCTAAATCAGCAGACTTGTTGATGGATGGGTGGAAGTTCGACTGGCAACAAGCTATGCTCTTGTTGACAAATGTAGGGCTTGTGCAGCTTGTGTCGATATGTGTATAAAGTTGGGAGGCTGTGTAGCAAAAATAGATACCGGTGATGTAATTGTGTAAAAAAAAAAAAAAAGTGATGGGAGTCGTCGTCGCAATGGAACCGGCCTTGGGGCCTTCCCCCAAGATTGGGCGGGATGGGCAGGCCCTTTTGTACCCTTTCCGGGGCTCCTCCGCTTCAAGGCTGCCTTTGGTTGGCCAGTTTCCACCACCACCTGCTGCTGCTCTCCCGGTTGCGGGGTCAGTTGTGGCTGGTGCTGTGGCTCAAACTCGGAAGAGATGCATTCCATCCACTCATCCACTGACTCGCTTTCTCCATTGTCAACACATTCCTTTCTGCCGGCCATATCCCAACAGTTTGGACTGGTTATGATCTTGTGTGGTGTATATGTTCGGATCAGCTCTTCCACCTGCTCCAACGTGCGGCTCTAGCCTACCAGTCAAATACAGACCTTCTGGAAGCTCTCTTGATCCAATCCAAAGCCAAAGTGGCGTGACGCAACCAATCATCCACCTCCCGCATTCCCTGTCCGTGGTCTGTCATCATCCACCAAGGTCTCCTGACACAGTGACTCGACTGCTGCCTCTGAAGCTGCTCCTGAAACATGTCTCCCAGAGGCGAAAACATATCCATCACACCCTTGGTTCCCTCCCTCTGTGGATGAGATGTGAATAGTTGCAGTCCAACCGTGCAAACTATTCACAATAATTATCGCTATGCTTTCAGTTGGTCTTGCCGTGTGTTTTACTCCGTGAGCGTGGGCAAACAAGGAAACCTATCTAATTCTAGCCGTCCCTTGACAAACCAAGGGTGGCTCTGCCCAGGAGCAAGAGAATCAATGAGTCTTTGTCTCTCCGCCCAGTCACAAGACTCTGCAGCCAAAGAAAGTTCCATCCCAGCCGTTTGGTAGATCTGTCGGGTAGCAAACCGTTGTCAAAGACAATCAAGGTATTGAAAACTTGTCATCCACGTATCGGTCAGGTTCTTTGGTCTGTGTGAGGCCTTTCTTGTATGGATATATATCTGGCTTTTGAAACTTCTGGAGCATCTCCGAGCGTCTTGACCTCTTCAATATAGTTGAAGGAATGAAATCTACAACTGGGAGCATTTCAAGACCCCGGTCATGTCATTTTCTACAGTTATACACCAAATCGTCAAGATTCAGGCGGCTTCGAAAAGGTCATCTCCATGTGTGTTTGCATGTCTGGCATCATGAACTGGAAATAGTCTAGGCGTTGCAAATGTTCATTCTCCTCTTATTTCTGAACCCAGAAAAACAAAATCAACATGTACATACACATACATATATCAGGTAAAGTCTTTTGCTGCGTTTTACATTTTGTCTCAAAAGATTCTTTCGTAAGTTGTGTACATCACATATCCATTCTGCTCCAAAATACCACATAAACCATCACCCAAACAAAACCCACCATTCACTCTGAAGAAATGTTTACAATTCATTACATCCCACCACCCATATGTCCACTAATAGTACCTATAGGAAAGACTCCATAGCATTAAGAAGCCCTTTGCCCCTCTTACTTAACTATCCAGTTTCTCCCCCCGTCGGCACCCTCTATCAAAGCTTGTATCTCCTATCTCTGTATCTGTTTCATCTCAACCGAGGGCAGGTGCTGTAAGCCCTGCTCTTGAAATCGTCTTGCCTCATTATGCTCCGATGTCGTTCATTATTTACCTTTGCGTGTTGAAAAAAGCATCATCTCCCCGTCGTAAAAGAAAAAAAAAGAAAATAGGAAACCCAAAAACGCCCGGTTGCTAGCCCTCCCCCTCCTCTGTTTATCCAAACAACCACCTCCAAATCTGAACCTGTAAGAGGAAAAAAAAAGAAAAACAGTTAGTCATCTCAGGCCTCTTTGCCATGTAGGTAGGTACAAAAGCTTTCACCAAGCCACAGGACGAATGTTATTGTCAAAGAAACAAGAGCTGTGTGTCAAACCAAGGAAAGAAACCATCGCAAAACATCAGATCCAAATCACCGCACAGACAGCACAATTAACTCACCCCCTTCCCCTTCACCGTCTCCACTCCAGCGCCCACCGCGCCCCCTACCACTGTATTACCCTGAGTCTTGTCGGCATTGTCGCCATGATAAGCTTGAAGGTCTCTCAGATCGGCTACCGTCTTCATGAGAGCCTCGGAACTCAAGTCTTCGACCGTGTCCGAGTCTCCCACAAAGGTCCAGCTCTCCTCCTCATCCTCGTTGTTGAGGTTGGCCTCCGTCATGCTGACATTCTCACCTGTCCGAGCATGGTTCTTACCCATCTTGGACCGGATGAGATTGGTGGCATATTCCATGTCGCGGTAGATGCACTGGACCGCTGTGTCAACTCCATTTTCCTATAATCCAATTGTCAGTAACCATCGCGAGTGTATGCATAGGGCAGTCGGTGTGAAACATACTTTGCGAATCTGCTCCCCCAACACCCTCGCCTTCACAATCATCCTCTCGCTGTGCGTAGCCTCCCACAGCGCCCTTGCAAAAGAATTCGCCCCCCACTTCTTGAGACAGATTCCCACTCCCAAGTCCTCAACCCGGCTTCCAAAGAAGAACTGGTCACCAAAAAATGGCCTGATAATCGTGGGAATGCCAGCCCGCAAACTGGCACCCGTAGTTCCGCTTCCCCCGTGGTGAGCAGCAGCATCAATCTGCTTGAACAACCAGTCATGAGGTGCTGACTGGATCTGGAAGATCTCCTCCGGCAGCTGTGGCTCAACCTTGGCCTCTTCAGGACCAGGAACCTTTTCATCACCCGAGCCAGGTAACCGGTCACTCCAGCCTTTGCTCAGAATGCATCTGACATCCGCCTTCTGCACAGCATCAATCACCTCTTGTGTCATCTTGGCCGGGTCAGGCACTATAATAGACCCAAAGCCAACGTACACAAGCTTTTTGCCGTCTGCCCGGGCCTTGTCGATGAAGTCGAGCAGCTCCTTGGACGGTTGCCACTTGTTCTCGTCGCCCTCGTCGAGAAACCAGTACCCGGTGACGCGGATCCAGTCACTAAAGTCAATGGGCGGTGGGACCACAAACGGAGAGAAGTTGTACAAGAACGGGACCTTGTTAATCTGCAGCTTGTCAAGTGTCGTGTTTGGCAACCCAAGCCAGACGTTGCGCCACCGGTTGATTTGACTGGCGGTGGTTTGCCAAAACACATTGTCAAACAGAGTGTAGGTCACGTAATTGTAGGCTCCTCCAAGCTTTTGTCCAGGCATGATGAAGGCGTGGGGGTAGGCGCGAGTGCGGGTCCACGGCATCGTGAAGGCGCGGAAGTATGGGATGCCAAGAGCCTCTGCGATGTGAATGCCAGCCATGGCACTGGGTGATTCGATCAAGAGGTCGCTGCCCTTGCACGCTTCCCAAGCCGTGACAAGAAGGTCGTCAAGCCAGCCACGCATCGTCGAGTTCGCCTCTTTGAGAAATGCCCAGGTGAAGGTGCCGTTCTGAATGCAGAGCCTCATCAGCTCGCTTGGGTCACCACCCACAGGGCGAAACTCAATCCCATGACTCTCGATCCAGTCTCGGAACTCAGCGTGAGTGCAAATCCTGGGACGATGGCCATCCTTCATCAGTCGCTTGCAAAGGGCAATATAGGGTTGAACATCTCCACGAGACCCAATCGTAAGACAAGTGATCTTCATGGACTTGCTGGGCTTAAAGTTGAGGATGGAAGCCTTGGGATCATCAAACAAAATGGTCGGCGCTTCAGAGACACAATGGGCGTCATGGGGCAGCTTGACCTCATGATGTGGAAACTCCTCGTTCCGGGCCTCCCGGAGTGCATCCCGCTCCGCCACAGCAGCCTGCGCATCTTCTGCATCCTCACTGTCCAACAGACCCGAATCACGAACATATCGGGTCGCCTCCAGGTTCTGCAGAACCGTGATGGTGCAGTCATCACGTATCTCGGCCCGGTTGAACTCGAAGAAGAGCTCTTCATGGCCACGGATCACCACCACCAAACCGGCATAGCCAAACCGGAAGCCCTTCTCTTTATCGACATTTTCGATATCCTTGAGCGGAAGGACAAGCTTGGTGCGGGTGCCTGGCAGCAGGCTGCGGAAGCAAAAGTGACGATTACCGATGTAGATCTTGCCGTAGAGCGGAAGTACGCGCATCATGTGCGCATAGTAAGCAGCCTGGAGCTTCTCAGTCTTGGGCAGGGCAAAGTGTTCCCTGAACCGGGCTTCATGGGTGGCTCGCTCATCGGGGTTGTCTTCAGCATCTTCTTCATCGGTTCTTAAGCCGGCAGGCTCGTCATAGTGTTTCTTGCCGCCCTTCCACATACCTGATACCTTCTCAACATATCCCATAGACTCTGTCGCGAGGAGATTGCTCATCCTCCTGGACTGTCTATCCAGATAGCCCATGAGCGCACCAGCACCCTTGAATGGGAAGGTCCCCACTGTGGCAGTGTTCTGCAGCGTTGGCATGGCCTGATTTCCCTCCGTTTCACCATTCTGAGCTGAAATCGATGGGGGCCGAGAGGCCTTGACTGTTCCTGGCGCCTCGGGCACGGCTGGCTCATTCCGCGCGCGGGGTGCTGAGGCCGACCTGTGGATGGCTGGGTTGTGAAAGACCTCACTCCCTCTAAGGATCTGGCTTGCCGAAGGGGCTTCGCTGCTTCCGGAGACGATCAGTCCAGACATGCTCGCTTGGCTGGGGTCCTCCATGCTTTGGACATAAGAATCACTGCCTTCTTGTCTCTCCATATCGTGATCAGTCCCGCTCTCAGACAAATGGCGCCTGTGGAAGGAAGTCCGGCGTTCGCTAAAGCTGCGACGTGGGGACTTTCCGCGGATATCGTCGCGGCTGACATCAACACTTCGCCTGCTGAAAGGCCGAAACCCATCAAAACTAGTGCGGGGCCCGTCGAGACATGGGCGCGGGCTCGGTGAACGTTGTCCTGGCGAGATGGGCGACAGCGTGGTTTTGATGCTCTGGGTAATTTTGCCTCCACGGGTATTGAGTGATTTGAGCACTTGCTCACGACTGCCGCTCGTGCTGGTTCGCTTCGACTGTGCCTCAGAGGCAGGTTCATCGAGCTCATTCTGTCCTGGCGTTTGCAAGGAAGAACCCTCCACGAGCGTCTTGAGAACGTCAATGGCTTCTTCGCTAAAGCTGAAGAAGGAGAAGAAATACTAATGGTCATCATTGGTCCAGTGTCTCGACATGACAGCACAAACAATCGGGAGGCATACCTCGTCAATGGCGTATGTCTCATCGTTGTCAATGACTCGTATCTTGCACGTTTTTCAGGCGGAAACCCAACATTTGGGTTTCTTCCACATCAAGAATGTTGGCGATGGGCAACGAGATCTTGACGCTGTCGCCATCGTTGTGTGATTTGAAGATCACCTTGCGCAGGCTCTTGACCCATTCCTTGGCACTAGACGAGCTGTCGGCTCTAAAGTAGTAGGTTCTCTTGTGGGTCACAATGGTGAAGTTGACACCTTCCTTGTCCTTGTCGGTGATCTCTGCGGATATGCCGTATCTGAGATCGACTTGGCCGCTGGGAAAGTATAGGTTTTGGGTGTCTCTATAATACGACAGGACATCTCCCTTGAGCCTGAAGAAGTAGCGGTTGTACTTGGGGTTGTGCTTGCCACACTTGGCAAGATACCCAGACTTTGTCACCTCATTCTACGTATCATTAGCATCGGGGGTGTCACTGACGAAACAGGACGAGTCTTACGGCTTTCTTGGGCAGGTATGCGTAAAAGGCAACGTGGCCGGCCGTGATATACATGTATCCTTGGAGTAATACATTTTGAAGGAGCCAGCATGGAAATTCTGCATGGTTTCTCCGTTAGCCAGTGCCCCAATTATTAATGTCCTCCTGTTGGATCCGTGTCACCCACCATTGATGACTTCTTCTGGGGTATCAAACTGGAAGATCTCCTGGAGCCTCTTGGCCAGTTCTGTTGGTCCTGTTTCGCCAGCTTCTGGCCTGTGTGCTTGTTCACCCGAGGGCCTCTCCAGATCAAAGCTTGGTCGTGCAGCCATTTGCGCGCGCGCCTCCAGCATCCGGCTCATAACCGGTGCTGTCTGTCGACTTTCGGTCCTGGTGATTTCGATCGTAGGCGTGACCTCAGAAGCTGGTTGAGAAGCAGAAGCTTCTTCGGCTTTGTCGTCCATCTCGCCCGGCTTTTCGGTTTCTGCGTCCTGTGTTTTCGGCGGCTTTAGGCTTGACTTGGCCCTGGAAGTCAACTTGGAAAGACCAGGCACAGAGCGCAATAAACGGCTCTCGGATATCTTTCTACGATGCTTGCTTTCAACCTTGTTCGAGGTGGCGCCATGTTTCCTCAACACTGTCGACTGAGCAAGATGGCTGCTCAAGCTTTTGGAGGGCTTGTGGTGCAAGGCTTTGTGCCCAGCAATGGTCATGGCCATCGGATTTTCCCTTTCGACGTCGTTATCGTCTTCGTCCGAGCTCTGGCCTTCGAAGCGATCGCCAAAGTCGGCCTGGCTACCGGCTGCTGCTATCAGACCGAATATGCTCTGGTTCATGTTCATAAACATGCCGCCGCCATAGCCCTGGGGCCGCAGTACTTCCTCATCGCTATCAGCATGGTCGCCTTGTTGTTTCAGTGATTCGGGGAGCTCCATGGTGGGAGTGTGTTCGTCGTCATGGCGTTTCTTTTGGAGTTTTCGTGAAACGCGGCGCACTGTGCGCTCGTCGTGGCTGGCGGCATTCGGTGTTCTTACGGCCGATGATGGAGGGGGGTGGGCGAGGTGTTGTGACTTGGAGAGGGCTGCTGACTGGGAGCTCGTGGGGGCAGGAGAGGGAGCAGTTGTATCCTCTACTGGAGCAATTGGAACTGCAACGGCAGACGACGTTGACTGACTGGGAGTAGCCATGGTGGACGACTGCTACCGTCTAAGAGACGGGTAAAGCGAGGCTGTCGTAATGGAACCCTATGCACTTGTCTTTGTACCGTGATGAACGAGGGTTCCGTACCACAGCTGGCAGGAAGAGAGATTGGAAGAACCAGACGGTCGGATGCCTGGAGAAGAGGTGACACCGTTCTGCAGGCTGGCAGACAGCGGTCTAGGCTGGGGGATGGTGGATAGGTGGTTGATGGCAGGTGATGGCAGCGATACAAGCCAAGGGAGCCTAGCGCCGAACCGTAGGGCTTATCAGGTGGGGTTGGTTGGAGCTGGGGGATGAGGCATCATGGCATCACCGGTCAATAAAGTCTGGATAGGTACAAGATGGAGTTGTGTTTCTAGGGGAGTACAGATGTGCGGTACGAGGTTAAAAAAAAGAAAAAGAAAAAAAAGAGGTTGGCCAGTGAGAGGGACCGCCGTTGTGTCGCTGGTCGCTGTGCTAAGGTAGGTGTCGGATGTTGACGGAGCACAGCGAGGCGGTCCGAGTTGATTGATGCACGCACTGAACGGTGATGACAGGGCGTCTGCTGCCAAGTGGGTGCCTTGACGGCATTGGGCTTAGCGGGTGCGCAGGGAATCAACAGCCGCCGCGACTTTGACCCGGGAGCTTGTCAAATGCCGTTTTCCAAGGTTTCCGTGTTTTACGCAGTATCTCGCAGTTACTCAGGTGATGGCTTGAGCTACAGAGCTGTGGTTATGGCGACATGGCATCAGATGCTCCCCGATGCCAAATCCTATCTCTTGATGGTTGATATTCTTGTTCGGGTCCACCCAAGGCTGCCTTGGAATAGGTAGGTACCTGATGGTTGAAGAGTGCGCTTATCTTATCGATAGGCAGCCCGGCGGTGGGACCGCATGACGCCAGCCTCAAGCCCATGTTCGCCTTTGTGTCTCCAAGAGATGGAGTCACATGCGAGACAGAGATTAGGAAAGTTTCCGATCTTTAGAAGCTGGGCACGGGAAACTGGAAAGTCCCCTATGGGTTTGAAATATCGTTGACAGAATTCCCACACCCTGTACCTCGGCCGCGTCAGCATTGATTGCTCCGCCGCACATTGTGCGTGAGCAGATGATGGGGCCAACAGCCATCGAGGCCGTTTCGGATGACATATGTTGGTAGCCCAGCATTGTATATATATAGTTATTCCAGGTTCTGCCTTCTCCTACTCCATGTCATACAAAAGTTTCTCATACAAAACACTACACATTACTCCCGTTGCATTGTACATGGTATCATCACCTCGCACGCCTCGTCTCACACTCTATGCCAACCAACCAGCCACACAACCCTTCAACCATTTCCTAAGATATTACAGAGAAGCTACATCCACAGGCACAGCTTGCCGCTGGCATTACCGCCGGCAACCCATTCCAATGTAGGGTGAAAATGCGCTACAGCCGGCACAGCCGTGATGCCATCGCCGTCCAGCTGTGCCAGTTGCTCTCCGTTCGCCGCATAAATGTCCACGAACCGGTTCATGTTGCCAATGGCGAACTTTTGAATCCCGTCAAATGGGCTCTTCTGCCACTGAGGCTTCAAGATGGTTACCCAGCGTCCAGTTTGGTTGTTATGGGCAATCTTGTGCACTGGTTCCATCTGGTCGTCAATAAGCTCGACGCCTGCTTTCCAGGAGCCCGCATCAGGGAAAGAGTAGATCTTGATGGTATCATCGTAGCTAGACGTCGCGATATGGCCGGCGCTGCTCCAGCTAGCATGTGAGACAGACAAGCGGGACTCATGCTCTCCCAGCAAGACGGGCTTCCGCATATCCCCCGTCCCTTGTATTTTCCGCAAGTCCCAGATCTTTAAAGTGCGGTCGAGCGATGCGGCAGCCACAAGGTGAGGCTGTAGAGGATGTAAAGAAAACCCTCCGATTTTAGGATCCACGAGATGCCAGATCTCAGCATCCGCCGGCTTGGTCCGGATGTCATGGCGTCCAAGCTGACCATTTAGTGTCGAGAATACAATCGTGTTTGGGTCCGTCGATGGTATGTCCATTGCACTGATGGGAAGCTCCACGCCTGCATCGACCGGGGCAAAAACCTGAGTGGATACCCCCTTGTCCAAGTCGAGCTTGCGGATGGAGGAATCGTAAGAGGATGTGTAGACGGCATTGGCATCGACGGAGGAAAATTGAAAAGAGGTAATGGTGCGAGCGTGCGTCTTGAATGCTGATATCACGGGGTCAGAGTAGCTTTCTTCGTCTTCGTCATCTTCGGTCTTGATCGGCTCTTGGGACGCATCGAAGATACCCATGGCCCCTTCCTTATCGCCGGCAAAGATGATCGGTTTGTCCTCTGTTGGATGGAAGCCCATTGAGTAGATGCGCTGCGGAACAATCTTAATGTCTGCTTCGTGTCAGTCAACCTGGGGTTGGGCGAGCCAATGCATCATGGACAACATACCGGCAACTGGCCATTTATCGTACATCTTGAGATTGCGCATGCGCAGTCTCAGCTCCTTGAGATTCTCATCTGAAGTTTCCTCGACATCGTCTTCGTCAAAGGTTTTGACACCAGGTTGGGCACCGCGAACTGACAAGCCCTTGAGCAGCCCGAGTCCGTCAACACCGCCTTCCCATTTGCGCCCCTCTACCGAAATGTCTCCTAGCTGCAAGTCTCCGTTGACTCGGAGCTTCTTGGCTTTCGCCTTCTCAGCCGCGGCCTCGACCTCGACCTCAAACTTGCGCTTGAGGGTGTCGTTGTCAGCGTCGACACCAGCTAAGCGCGTGCTTCTTCTTGTGGCGGGCTGGTGGGCGACTTTGGTCGGTTCGCGTTTACGTGGCGTAGATTTTTTCGCCTTGGTTTTCGTGGGTATCGCTTTCGAAGGAATGATCTTATCAGCCGTCGCTGATATCCCACTGAGGATCGCATTGTTCGCCGCAATGTTCTCCAAACGCTTCCGCTCAAAGGCACTGATGACGGGCTCCTTCTTAGGGGGCATTTTGTGTCGAGCTGAGAGCAATTAAATATCTCAAACAAAAGTCAAAGTCCAATGGAGGGTGTCAAGAGCTGCCAAAAACTAAGCAAGGGTGATCGAGGTTGGAGGTTCCTTGTGCCAAAGAGCAACCTGAAGGTGGACAAAGACAAGAGAAAGCAAAACGTGAACTGTCGCGCTGGCAGATGAAAATCAATTAAGCCCGACGCGCTCGAGTCGCAAATGCAATCCAGTCGCGTAATCACGGGGCAAACCTGGTGGGGTTGGCTGCCCAGGTGCCCCACTCCCCCACAATGAACAGCAGACGCTAGTACTGTGAGAAGTCTAGCGCTCACAATTTGTCAACCCCTGCAGGCAATTCTTTTGGAAATTTTGGATAGCGCTGCCGCCGGTGCTGTGCGCAAAAGATTCTTGTGCCCTGCCCATCAAACAAAGACTGGACTCATAGTGCGCAACCAGTCTCCAAAATGTCAACAACACTTCTCCCATTTCTCTACCAGACCCGGACCCTGCAGAGGATATCTCGGCATGCCGCTCCAAATCCAGCATTGCGAGCCTTTGTGCACACCACAGCGGCGACAAACCTGCCCCTCAGACCGTCTTCATATATGCCCCCAAGGAGATCCTCCCGTCCAAACAGAACAGGATCTTACAGGCGAGGCCCTGCTTCCGGTGGCCCGAAAAGAGAATCCATCCCCTTCGAGCTTCCAGAAGACTACGAGCGACCCCCTCCCAGAGAATTGAACCATCTTCTCACAGAGGCTGGAGATCGATCGACCATCACACCCACCGAGCGTGATGCCTTCAAGGCTATCTTTGAAGAAATTGCCGCCAAGCAGTCACCTTCGAGCCATCAAGACCCCTCGCTCCTCAAGCCTACGCAGCAGCGCTGGCCCAAGAGCGATGCGGCCTTGGATTTACCAGCCCAGCCGTCAGCTAGTGAGACAATCGACATCATCATGCAAGATGCCGCCGACGTCGAAGCGAGAAATACTAGACAGCTCCAACATCCCTACGGCAAGAGTCACCCCATGACACAAGCAGCCAACACCAATGACTGGAACAAAGCTCTCTTGCGCTTTCCACCGAGCCTCCGTGATGCTGCCCGCCGAGCCCTCAACATCACCGAAGCCGAGGAGCTCAAGAGCCCCGATGGGTATTCAGAAAGTGCCGCCTCCCGCGTTGGAGCTGACCCCGACATGGTGCTCAACCCACTCGGCAAGTCCGTTCAGCACGAAGCCCTCCGCCGTGCCGAGCGCGCGCGAGTCGAAGGGATGATGCAGGCCACAAAAACAGACTTTGAGCTGTGGGATATTTTAGAAAAGGAGGTCTTTCCAATGGTGGCCAGGTTTGGGTTGGACAAGCTGGAGCCATCCGTGTTGAAGACGAAGGGACGCAATGGCAAAAAAGCTGATACGGCTCCTCCTGCGGCCAACGCCGAGGAAAACGCACCAGGCAATGACCTATTTCCCCTGCACATCTACGGTCCACTGTACCCCCGCTATCTTCTAGCCGCCCTCCGTCTGTTCCACCAAAGATTTTCCCACCCATCACCGCTGGCCTTGAACATTTTACCGCGCGTCAAGGAGCTTGGGCCGGCAAGCTACGTTTTGGGGGCCAGCACGCCCTTTTACAACGAGCTGGTGAGGATTTTGTGGTATAGGTACGGCAATGCCGAAGGTGTGCTCAACATGTTTGAGGAGATGCGTATGGCCGGCATGGTATTTGACGCCGACTCGCTCAAGGTGCTGAATGCCATCTCGTCGTGGGTCAGAGCAAGCGAGACGGGGAAGCAGGGTCCTTTTCTCAAGGAGTTGGTCTCGTTGCCCGAGTGGGAATATGGGATGCAGGCGAGGCTGAGGCATTGGGGAAATTCGATGCAAGATCAGCGAAAGTACTTGGCTAGTGCCATTTAGTTTCGACATCATATTCATTGGGGCGTGTATAAAACTGGACGCGGGATTCGTATCTGTATGGAGCATAATGGATGGGAGCATAATGGACGGGCATTCTACATGGAGACTTGTGGCGCATTTGGATGGGAATAGCAACTGTATAACACGCTGTATTACTATGACAGGCATATCACATCACAGTCGATCTTGACTTTTGTTTCTCAGCAAGCATTACAACATTTTGCCACCTCTATTCTTGTTTTGGTCGATAACACAAATCGGCACGTGTCTCCTCTGCAATGTCGATCTGGAGTTTCTGCATGAAGGAGATCAAGTGTTTCTCACGGCAGTAGATCGTGGAGGTGTAAGGCTGATAGGGGGCCAGCCTGGCCTGGGGTGGATGAACTTGGCTTGTCGCACAACTTGTCATCTTGACAACCACTGTCGCGATTTTGGATCGTGGGGGTGAGCGTGGGGGCTGAGCCTTCTGATGGCGACTGTTGATATTGGGTTGCTTTGTTTCGAAGTTCTTAACAACAAATGTCCAACTTGACAATTCAAGAGCCGTCACCAAAAATCAGGGGCTCAAGTGGAAAGGTCTAGAACTCTTCTCGATCGCAACAACGCACGTGCCGAAGACTTCATGATTCACCATGGTGGCATAGTGAAAGACAGGGAATGACTAAGTAGCTGGGTTGGTGGTGGCAAAATGGGTCAAAGCCATGGCCGCCACCAGCAGGACCACGTTCTTGACAGTGCCTCACTGGAGCCTCTATAACAACACGTTCGTCCCAAGTCGAAGTAATGAGTCTGCTTCGCCAGAACCATCTCGATTCATTCCTTTCACTTGATCATCGCCGTATCGTAGACAAACTGCCTCCTCGTTTTTGGGGCATGATATTCGGTCTTTACGATATTCGACTCCCAAGTGCACAAACAAGCGAGATCATGCAGCAGCATTCCGGCCCTCTCGAACCCCGTCAGAACTGTTTCACCCTGGCCCGGCCCCGGCACTCGAGACCCAGCTACCTGGTAGCTGCGCAAAGCGAAACGGCACACCCGCGGCACGGCGCAGCGGGAGCATTCCTCAGAGTTCCATCCCGCCCACATTAATTCCGCAAGAATAAGAGCGGGTCGAAGGTAGAGGCCACTGTCGAAGATCAAACCATGTCGTCGGCTGGCGATCCTGCAGTGGAGGTCGACCTGGAAGAGGTGGCCACTGGCAAACAAGAGTCCGAGGTTCCACGCATTCCTGAACGTGGAGAAACACCTTGTCATTGCTGCTCGCCGCAATCCTACTTCTACCCGCGGGTGGCCCACACTTTTCTCACATTTCCAGAATCAGCAACAGTGATAACTAAAGACTCTTCTTCGACTTGGACCTGAGCCATCTTGAACACTACTTTATACTCCCTCCTACGTCTCATAAAAGCACACCTACCAACCCACCACACCCAATTTGTCACACACCTCAGTCAAGATGGTTCAACGCGCCCTGAGTCACCGCCGCAGCAGCAACCGCACCCTAGAAATCGACGTCAGCTCCGCCGCCGCCGTCCCAACAACAACACCCGGCAGCACAGCCAGCTATGTCACCATCCCCATCCGCGTCTCTTCTGTTAGGGGCCGGGCAGTGAATCCACCCTGCCATTGTCAAGACACTCACCTCTCTCGGCGCTCAGATCAGCGTCAGCACGACTACCTCTTCTGTGTCTTACGAGTTACAGGGAGACGAGGTATTTAAATCGGGAGAATATGGTGGAGGAGGCTGGTTGTTGATGATGAGGTTGTTAAGAGGGAGGGCGAGGGGGTAAATTAGCGGACGGCGAGGAGGAATTAGATGACGGAGGAAGGGGGGGGGGGGGGGGGGTTGAGGTTGAATATTTGATACCACAGTCGTTTGGAGGGTTACGACGTACCTAACACATTGCACCTTCGTTTGTACTGTCATACATTTTGACAGACATACGTCGGAGCACATTACACAAGCACAAATCCCTTCGTTTATATATCTGATTGGGGATTTGAGGCTGGTTTCCTCGGGCATATTTCCCTGGTACTCATTTGGAGAATGGAGGAGGACGGCGGTATCTATGCCAGGGTCACAGATGCGGCTGTCGGTCTCGCCCACAAGTTGCGAGTAGCTGTCGAGCTAGGTAGAGGAAACAAACAATGATACACACTACAAAGAAGTACAAACACAGCTCGTTTTCTCTCTCTTTCTCTCCTCTCTCTATACACAACATCCCCTCCATCCCTCCAAGAACAACCCTTTAGTTTCGTCCGAGTTTCTTCCCACTCCAAACCCCCGAACCCAAGCGCCTCAAAAATAACACGGCCCACGTTTAGCTCAACAAGGAGCACATACACGTACTACCAAAGAGGGTTCTGACTCGAAACCTTGGCCTGTTTCACAACCCTCTTACAAACCCCAACCTGAGTTCCATCCAGAAAAATCCCGTAGTATGTGCATTCGCGGTCCCACTTAGGGTCCAAACTTTCCTCGATAACCTCCTCAAACCTATAACGGTCATAACCCACGGCTCCAGCATTCCAAAACAGCTCATCCCGTAAGGATACCTCCAGATCGCAAAGAAGTGCAACTGTAAGCAGATAATCATTCTGACTGAACTTCTCATACGCCCTGATCAAGGGTGGTGAGTACCGCGGTAAGATATACCTAAAATCTGCCACGCACGTCATCCCAATCTTCTTGCACAGCACTCCAATAATTGACTTCAAAAACCCCTTCGACCACAGACCCCCAAACCGAGCCTCAAGCTCGTCCTGCTCCCATGGCACCCGGCCCCCAACAGCCATGTCAAGGAATAATCCTAGTAGGATTATACCTGCACAGTTGTATCTCATGCAAGATCCAAGGGCGGTAGATATTAACGTGTATAAAAGCGCCCTGGCCTCGGTAGACAGCAATCACTAGGATGGTTTTGTAGAGGGAGGAGAAGGAGACCACTTGTTGGATGAGGGCTTCTCTGGAGAGGGTTTGGTCGATGGAGATGATGTCGAGGAAGAGGTATTGGATGTTTAGTCTTTTGGCTGATTGGATGACTCGGGCGATGTTTTTGGAGCCGCGGGTGGCGAGGTCGCCATCCCAGCGCCAGGAGAGGACGGCGACTTGGGAGGGGTTGGAGAGGGGGAGTTTGAGGAGTTTGAGGAGGAGGGGGGTGGAGCCTAGGCTGATGCCGCTGTAGAGGTCTTCTTCGTTGAGCTTGTCGAAGACGAGTGCCTGGAATTTGAGGACTTCCATAGCCCAACAGAGACTGCCGCTCAATGAGCGATGTTGTGGTTTTTGATAGTATTTGTGCTTGAGCAACAACCTGATTGTGGGCAAGAACTGTCCCGGAAATTGCTTTGGGATTCTTGCACAGTGTTCTTTCTGATACTTACCCTATGACGGAGCAGATATGGATAATGGTTGATGGCTGGTTATCATCCACATAACAGGAAATGATAGCTAGGAGTGCCTCAAGGATAAGAGAAACATTTGGAGTTGATAATTGGTTAGGCAGCCAATGATTGTACGTATCCAGACTGCAGTTAGTGATTGGTTCCTTGATGCATCCATTGTTCAGCTTTTACTCGCTGGCCTACCGAATCAGCTCTCAGCCCCATGTAAATAAGAAACACAAAAGTCAGCTGAAACAATGTGCAGTTTTATAGAAGAGCTCCCTCACCACAAAATAGTGGATACATAAAAGTAAGTTAACCCATATTATATCGTAAACTCTACTTTGAAAGATAGGCAATAGGCCTTTTAAATATTTCCGAAGGCCTCTTAACTGTGTTTGAAGGCCTGCTGACTATCTTTGAAGGCCTATAGACTATTTTTAAAGGCCTATGGACTACCCTTCAAGGCATGTTAACCTACTTTACCAGGTAGTGTCTCAATTATTTTATGGTAAGGGAGAAGAGGCAGTTCAAGACTGGTTCCTTAGGTGAAGCCCAAGACCAAGATTCGACACTGAGGAATAGTGTCGTCTTTGGGATCCAACACGCGTGTAGCATGATCGATCTAATCTGGGTCAGAAGCAACAACAGTAGGGCATCCAGAATCCGACGCACTTAGCTCCGTGAAAATGAGGAGGGGTAGCTACGCATTGAGAATTACTTTATGTGAGGTTGCTCTAGTCGATGATCTTGATGCATGGAATGGCCGCTTCACACTTTGGAACATCTCGAAACAGTTATAATCATGGAAGCTGCGGTTAACAAAGGGGGGACAGAAAGGGGACAGCCCACAGACGTCAGGGGTGAATGAAGTAGAAGGTCAAAAGAAGGCCCTGACTAAGCACGGGAAAGGCTAGCATATATTTCCTGTCAAATCTCACGATACGTGGCCTCATTGTTCTGGTTGACCTTAACTATCACCGAAGTCTTCCCTCTCACTTCCCTGATATTCATGATCACTCCTCCATCTAAATAGGTACCCAAAGAGGTCTTTCATATCCCAGCTGGTTTGCCCTGAGGCGAACAATGTCGAAGAATATGTCCGCGATCTGCATAGCAGCAACGAGGTTGAGAACATTGTTCATGTCGCAGCCCAGACGCATGGCAATGATTATAACGCGTTGACGAATCATGTTTCTGATAAACGCCCATGCTGACATTAACCGGTTAGCTCATGTTTAAAGAAAAAGTCTGAACGGATCATGTAGACGTACCAGGTTCTTCATCATCAAGCAAAGGTGGCTCCGGCTCGATAGCTGGGCGGCGCAAAAGGCGGTTGCGAATCCGGCGGAACATTGGGAATCTTGCTGGGTGCCGGTTCTTTGAGTAGGTGAGTTAGCTGGGATTCTTATATTTGAACAAATAAAAGACAAGAAATGCATGCCTGAAATCTGGTGCTAGTTTCGATGCTCTGATACCCGAAAGTTGGGTTGTTGTCGCAATGGAGAGTGTGTTGTGGGCTGAGTGACAGATGGCTGATGGCTGGGACAGGCACCGCAAGAGCTTTGCTGTCGACGCCGACTTGGCGGGTCCAGGCAGTTGGACGATCCAGGCTCGCCCTGCACTCATAGGCTCGGCGACATCATCATAGGCTCCAGCGACATCATACAACCTTCCACTTCACTGGGACATGTACTTCGACTCAAAAAAGCATCTCATTTCACTTTGTTACTCAAAGGTTGCCTCCCTGAAAATCCCTGCAATCACGTTCAAATATAGCTCCAATCCGCCTCGGAAATCCTGACAAACATGTCGTCATGTAGTTTTGAAATGTAGGCCCTTTCTTTGACTGGGTTGTGGACATTCACAACCTGAAAGTCAAAGTGTCTCATCAACTATCGACCTTTGTCAGCAATCTCTCAAACATGTACGTCTTGATTGCCTCAGAAAGTCTTACCTCAAAAGCGGTCTTGTTCAACTCAATCAAGGCCACATTTTTACCCGCACATGTCCATCGGCCACCACCCCAAATTATCTCCAATGCTCGCATCATTCCTGTCTTCTGATCCGCCCGGCAGTCGAGGAATCGCTCCGGCCGAAATATATCAGCATCCTCTCCAAAGAGTTTCTTGTTGTGCGTCAACCCCAAAGTGTTGTGGCCAATATTTGTCCCACCAGGCAAGTAGTAGCCAGCAAGCGTATCGCCTCCCCTTGGAACTACTTTGTAATGGCCGAATGTGACGGCGTTACCAATGCGGAAGGTTTCATACATGACGGCCTGCGTGTAAGGCAACTTCTGGGCCTCCTCGTTGGTGATCGGACTCGAGACCTTGCCCTGTTCGACGGCCTCTTTGATCTCCTTTTTGAACCGGGCATAGGCATGCGGCGTGGCCATGAGATAGAGCATGGACGACCGAATCGTGCTCTAGATCTCGTCAGCGCAATACACTTTCAAGCACATGGGAGTTGGACCTACTGCCGTTGTATCATTACCTGCAAGGACAGCAAGGATGGCCTCTCCTTCGCATTCGCTTCTGGTCATGCCGTTGCGAATGAACCCGCCCTGCAGAGATACATTAGATACATCCATGACAGTGGGTAGCTGCTACTCACCATCATGTCTTTGGTGGGCTTGTCCTTGGTTTGAAACCGCTCTCGAATGGTTTCATTGACATGTCTATTTCGGTAGCGGCAATGTTAGACCCGATGGATTCATCCCGGTGGGGGTGATGCTTGGACATGAGACGAGATGACCTACTTCATAACGACCCCCAACCCAGATTTGTCACTGGTCTTTGGTCCGAACCAGCGCAAAAGTCCGTACTTTGGTATCATAATGTCCCGAAGGGCAGGGAGTTCAAGCCCCACTGACATCATAGGCAGAAGCTTGTCCATAGTCCCTATCCACCCTAGAACGTCCTCGCCCTGGTGAAATCATGGTTAGGTAAGTCAGGTCTCTGAGGGGCAACAGAACTTGGAAACCTCAAGCCCCGTTCAAAATCATTTCTCACCTCATCAAGATGACCCCACGGCTTTCCGAATACCAAACCCGAGATGACATCCATGGTGAAGCATCTTGACAGCTTGGCAAAGTCAATGGAGCGAAGCTCGTCGGGAGTGGAGAGATATTTCCGGCGGATGAGGTCGACCAGGCGGACAAGCTGAGCATCAACAGCCCTCTCTAGGCCACCTTCAGTTTCACGGCCAGCGTAGGGCCCTGCTGTCTTTGCCTTGAGTATGTCGTGAGCAGCAGTGTCCACTTGGGTTCCCATACTGTCAGTGTCGTGTGTGAACTTGGCGCCGGCGTACCAGACAGAACGCTTATATGTCGATCTGGCCGCCGAAATCTTGCGGAGAACATCCGGATCATTAGTGACAACCGTGCCGGGCGCTACGACCACGAGAGGACCATATTCTCGGAGGTTGATATAGCGCGAGGACACCTGTTGTGTTACGATAGTATGGGCTTGCCACAAGAAGGAGAACTTGGCCAGCGTGGGCCCTGGAAGGTGGCGGAGACGATACCAAGCTGTGAAAGCCGTCACAACATACCAGATCACAAAGGATGCTGCCGCTAGTCCGAGGATGGTACTGTTGCTCAGCTCTGCGTCGATAAGGAAGTCCATTGCGTTTGCAATCCGCGGTGGTGTGAGACCTTGGATGGAGTTGCTCCGTCTGCGAGTAAAATCCAGGCGTGAATGTCAGCTTCTTGTACCCTTATGTTCATACTGCGGGGCGAGAACTGCTGTTTGGATCAAAGCAGAAGGGTCCGGAGATGGCGAAGCCGCATAGGTATCCTCATCGACATGATTTACATGTTACACGGTGGGTGATATCTCAATGGACGGGATGGCGACCCAGAAGTATGAAGCATATAGTTTCATGCAGGCCCCCACTTCTGGAGCTCGCGACGCTCGTACAACAGAACCTACGGCGTCTACAACGGCATATAATAGGTGAAGATTGCTAGTCGATATAGCGCTAATCATTCATTGGCGAAGCCGGTGTGACATGGAATGAGGGAATGGTTGCAGTTTGTGCATGCAGTCCAGTCGTTGTGTTACATACATATCATGATATTGGCATCTAGCTGCATGCCCAGCCTGCAGTCCATGCTTCCCCGTTCTTAACCGGCAGTTGAGCCGCTGGCATCAAGGTCGGGAAGGTGGGGTCAAGAGCGAGGCAACTCCCTCCCATCCCCAGCAATGAAACCCAACACACTAGCCACCTGCTCATTTTTTTCTCTTGGGCGGAAGCACGTGTTAGGTATTGTGGGATTTGCAAAGGTTTGAACCGATGAGTCCTGGGGATCAACTTCACGGGTAGAAGGGGTACCACATCAGGCACAGATTACCTACATATTGTGTGTCTTACTCCCAAACGCCAATGCGTTCCCAGGCTCAGCACCGAGGCCTCGTATTTGCCTCTATCCTGTCTCATGGTCGAGAGTTGACATCACCTTTCCTTTTTGCAACATGAAAGGAGAAGCATGGAGTGACTGACCTCTCACTTGGTGGCATGCGGTGTCACAGTCGTACAAGCAGGTTGAAATATAGAGCCTCAACGAATTGAGGAATCTGTGATGGCTGAGAAATGCTCATACGGATGACCCACTGCAGCATCAGCACTTAATCTCTATGCATAAAATTTGGAACGCACCAAGTCACCGGCACACTTACCAGCAGAGCTCTGTCCAAGTTTACAAGCTGTATGACTTGCCCATGTTGTTAGCAAGAGACTTGGCACAGTGGGGAGTAAGGTCCCTTGAACCACCATTCACATGGTTCTTTGCTGACAGGCTTGTAAGGAGATCTGTTCTGCAAATAGGTCTATCCAAGATATTATACTGCTACTGTGATTCCAACCAAACTTTCTAGTTGATCTCGAGGACGAGTCCACAGTCTTTCGCCGGTTAGACCTGAGGTTAGCTTTGACAGATCCGAGCCCAATGAACCAGATGCAGCACCTTTGAACCAAACTATCTTTGGGGTTATTACATGCTGATTGTTGAAGAGGTGTGGCTTCTTCATCTATCCGAACCTGCATGAAACTGCCAGAGTTGATGTGTTGATCTGCCAAGATAACAAGGCCTTGCTGTCCACCCCCCACAGTTCGATGCCACATCACCTTCGAGATGACATCCATCAACAGAACGTGGCCAATCACGCACTTGCTGACAACAGAACCAAGCTCGCCGGACGCAACGCTCACCTCAGCAACATGCAGGTGGAACCCGTATTTCCAATCTGCAAGATCGATCATCGGGGATGACACAGTAAAGCCGAGCGTGCCAAACGCCGCTCCGTTCCAGCGTGATGGCTTTCGAAAACACATATGAGTCCGCGGTCACACACACATGCCTCACTGCCATGTTCTACCTGAGTCTTCAAACCTGTTCTCCTCTCCACAAACAGCCATGATCATGGATCACCTCGTTCAACGACCCCTCTTCCCAACACCTGACAAGCTCGACCTTGTCATCCCTTGCCTACTGGCCTCTGCCACTGGCTTTCTCTCCCACACCCTCTACTTCATCCGCGGCTTTCACGATACCTCGGCACTGCGCATTTTTCTCGTCCACTTCACCACCTTCCTATGCCTAACAGCCTACTCAATCACTCAGCTCGGCGTTTTCCCCGGTCTGATCACCTCCACAGCCATTGCCCTCTCGTACCTGACCACCCTATTCACGAGCATAATCACCTACCGGCTCTTCTTCCACCCCCTCCGACACATACCAGGCCCGTTTCTCGCAAAAATAACAAAGCTATACGGTCCATACACCGCGCGCAATGGTCAAATGCACCTCGAGCAAACAAAACTCTTCAAAAAATATGGCAACTTTGTGCGCATCGCACCCAACGAGGTATTTATGTTGAGTGTAGAGGGGATACAAAAGATTCATGCCAGAGACAGCAGATGCCGCAAGTTGAACGCGGGCATATACGATGTGATTCACTTCAAGGGGGCGCATAATCTCAACTCTGTGCTTAGCAGGGAGGAGCATGGGCCGAGAAGGAAGATTTGGGAGAGGGCGTTTACCACCAAGGGTAAGTCTCTCGGTGTTGGTGGCAGGATGTGGAACTGACATGAAATAGCCCTCGCGATCCACGAGCCCAAAACACGAGAAATCTGTCATCGATGGCTGAACAAGATTGCGAGCTTGAACGGTCAACCGATCAACACTTCGTTGTTCTCGCTGCTGATCCCGTTTGATCACATGGGCAAGGTTGGGTTCAGCTATGAGTTTAGGAGTATTGAGGCTGGGGAGGAGAACAGGATGCTGCATTTGCTGGAGAGCTTGTTTGGGCAGTTTGGACGAACGGGGGAGCTTTGCTGGCCGTTGAGCATTGCTAAGGATCTGAACTTGGGAAAGGAGTCGGCGGAGTTTGATCGGTTGACAATGGAGATGGCTGATCGGAGGGCTGCGGTGAGTTTTTCTTGGCAGTGATTGATCTTCGACCGGGGTTACTGACAAAAGTGCGTGACAACAGGAAGAAGACAGCAACAAGGGGGACATCCTGCAGCACTTTTTGGATGACATGAGATCAGAGAAGCCGATTGCCTTTTTCAACAAGAATATCTTTTATTCAGACTCGGCTTTGGTCTTGATTGGGGCTACGTAAGTTTCTTTCAGCCTCATACCTTTCTTTCCAGTCAACTAACCTCTGCTCAGTGACACCATCGGCGTGGTGCTTTCATATCTCTTCTACCACCTCGCCCGCCATCGAGTCTATCAGGATCTCCTTCATTCCCACATCAAGAAGGTCTACGGCGAGACTATCCCAGAGGAATTCACAGACCGAGACCTCTCCAAGATCCCGCTTCTGGATGCGCTTATTAATGAGGTGTGTCCATACAGTCCCGTCTGGCTTGCTGGTGACCGGCTGGTCCCTCTGTTACCTTTGCACTAACACAAGCGCTGCAGACGATGAGGCTAGACAACCCCGTGGCCAATAACGGACCGAGACTTACCCCACCTAAGGGGATCACTGTGGACGGCATTCACATTCCAGGGGGTGTAGCTGTTCGAGTGCCGGGATACGCGCTTCATCGAAGCGAAGAGTTTTACCTGGCGCCCGAAGAGTTCAAACCGGAGAGATGGTTGGATCAAGCAAAGTTTGTAAAGGACCGTGAGGCGTTCATTCCGTGGTTGGTTGGACCAAACAATTGTGTTGGAAAGAGAATGGGCATGGCCGTTGTTCGACTTGTGTTGGCCTACACCGTCTATAGCTACACCTGGAACTCTGCGCCAGGTGAGGACGGAAAGAGGATCTACTTGGAGTCGAAGGACAATTTGATCTTGAAGGCTGGGGCGTTCAACGCCGTGTTCACACCAAGAGAACCTGGAGGGCTGAGCTATGTTCCGAGGCAGTGATCGACACCTGGCCGATACAAGTCAAAGACATGATACCGCACGGTACCTACGTAACTCGATATCTACCGTTACTGATTCTACAAAGCTCCCTTCCCCATAATCTTCTCAACCGGTTCCAGGATTCTTGTCATGCTCTTCTCTCCCGGCAACGCATCAACCCAGTTGCCATGAATCTGCCCCTTTATCCTAAAGGGCAACTGAACCACCGCCACCGGGTTCCCAAAGTCCCTTGTATCCAACACCACCAAATCACTCCTGTTGACATCCATCCTCTGAATCATCCCCAGCACCCAACCATCACCCTCCGGCGCATCCTTTGTCCTGGGCACAAAGATTGGCTCCTCCACTGTGCACCCCTGGCCAGGATCAAACATATCAACCTTCCCACTGGGCTTGTCAAGCATAACGTATGCATGCAGACCGATAGGCAGAATTGGGGGGATAGGTCTCTGCTTCCCTGGGGGGATAACAGGACAGAAAAGCTTGTCGTATGGCTTTGTCAAGAAGCGCTCATCAACCCTGGCCATTTCTCCAGGCATATCCAAGATCACAGCAGGGTCAACAACGCGAGTGTTAGTTGGTTTGGTGAGGTCGATCTCCCACCTGACGTAATCAGCCTGGAAGTCTCCAAATGGCTTGTCAGTTGGCGGGCCAAAGACAGGGAAAAGGTTGTAGCGGATCCGCGAGCTCTCAAAATAGAGCCTCACGTCACCGTTCTCGGCTGTTTCCTCCCATGACCCGGCTGTGTGGAGAAGGACGGCATGATCCGAGTGGTAGACTCTGGTCTCTCCCGTCTTCCATCCAGTAGGAAGGTCGTTGGGGTGTCGAGGGACAACGACGAATGTTGCTGGGAGGTCCTTGCTGTAGATCCAGTGCTGACCACCCTTCTTCATGTGGTCTACGTCAGTTTCGTAGGGCCACAGAACCAGGATGATGAAGTTGGCGGTGAGAGCACAGTCGTGGATGAATGCGGGCCACGGGCTCTTGATCCACTGCTCATCGTGAATTGCACCTTGCTCGTCGAGGGCGTAGATGACGACGTCGTCTGTGCCGAGGCCCTTCGCTTCGTAACCGAACACAACTAGCTCTCTTGTATACGGGTCAACCTTGGGATGGGCAGAGAATGTCAAGCCTGGGGAGTTGAAGGGGTCGTAGGTGATTGTTTCGAGCGTGTCGGGGTGGACTTGATAGGGCTGCGCGGATTCCTTGAGGGCGAGAAGCTTTCCAGCCCAGTAGACGAGGTTGGTGTTGGCGGTGCTGTCCACAGCTGCGCGGACACAGGGATGATGTGTGAAAGGATTACGATACAATCCGAATAAGCGCTTGTTGGCTTGACGCTCCAGCCTCTGTGTGAATGCGACACGTCAGCCAACTGACCACGGAGCGAACAGAGAGCAAGTATGCAACTGGACTTACGAGGCGTTCAGTGTCGACGTAGCGGATCTTTAGATCGACCCGGCCATCTCTGATGCGCAGGGCACATACGTTCCCGTCACCTTCTATAGGTGCATTGCCTTCTTGGAGGGGGTAAAATGGATCAACCATGATGCGGTCTGTATGAGCACTCTCGTCAGCGTGTGTTTCTTTGACAGAAAGAGACAGCAAACACCGGGCAACTTACAGAAGGTTCCGTTGAGCTCCTTGGGGATCTCGCCGAACACCACTAGCTCGGTCACCTCGCCCTCGAAGCGTCCCACGACGCCGTGCTCAAAGGGAGACCTGACGCTGGACCATGATGAATGCAGCCCAAAGAACCCATTTGGGCCGTTGGGGTTAGGTGGTGGAGGGAGCATAATAGCAACAGTCAGCAAGAAAGAAAAACGATGATGAATGATGAATGAAGCATACCTTAGGTGCCTTGAGGTCTTTGGTCATCAATATATGCATCGACACGAGCCTCTCTGTTTGAATAACTTGGGTTGATATCAACTCGCTGTGGCTGTGGGGATCATCATTTGACCCAGGCGCATTTCCAAACAGCTCGGAAATCAAGCCCCACTGTATTCCGAAATTCCGTGATTCCGATTAGTTTGTGAGACGGCCCTCCCCCGCGATCTACAAGCTAGGTTCCAAACAGCTTCGATTCTCCACACCTTACCCCAGCCTCCGAGCCTCTATTCCCAATCCCGCGAATCAAAACACCAGCAATTTGTTATCAACTTTCCGACGTCACAGGCTTCTCGATGGCGACCTTATGGAGATTGTCTTTCGGAGCGGCCACGTTCCACATTCTATGATGCTTTCCATGGATGCCAGCGTCGCGATGGAAGGGGACGCATGACCAAAGATGGAGAACATGGACCTGTCCGAGGTTCCGAGAACCTAGAACTCCATGCTTTTGGATTCAATATGTACCTGTTGAATCCTTCACCCAACACAGAAGCTGGTCGCTTTTTCAACTTGATCTCTTCAACTTTGCATCCATAACAACGTCACCATGCAACTGGAGAAATTTCTTACCGCCGCCGAGGCTATCGTGGGCTCCGAGAATGTGTCGAGAGAGCCAACCTCTGGTGCCCCAGAGGGCCTGGATGGGAGTGTCGCCTACGGTGATCCATTCCCCTTGTCTCGGCCGCACCGCCCTGGGCCAGCAGTTCGTCCCGACACGGTTGAACAAGTGCGTGAGCTTGTCCGGGCGGCGAACAGGTTCGAGGTACCCATGTGGACAGTGTCGAGGGGAAAGAATCTTGGGTAAGTCATTCAACTCGGCTTCCTTTCCCACTCGTTCTAACGCATTACCGTCTAGATATGGCGGCTCTGCCCCAGTCGTAGACCGCAACGTCATCCTCGATTTGCACCGAATGAACAAGATCATCGAGATTAACGAAGAATATGCCTACGCCATCGTGGAGCCTGGCGTGACATTCATACAATTATACGAAGAGATCAAGAAGCGCAAGCTCAACCTCTGGATCTCTGTCCCGGCCATTGGATGGGGTTCCGTGGTTGGAAATACCTTGGAGCGAGGTATTGGTTACACGCAGGATGCTGCCCATTACAAGCACCAGTGCGGCATGGAGGTCGTCCTCCCTGATGGTGATTTGCTGCGAACTGGTATGGGTGTTGTGGAGGACAGCAAGGTGTGGCCGCTGTATTCAGGGGGCTTTGGGCCCGGGTTGGATGGTCTGTTCTTCCAGTCAAATTATGGTACGTTTCCCTTGGCGAGGCCACCTCTGACGTGATGGCTGACGGAGGAAACGGTAGGCATTGTCACGAAGATGGGGATTCAATTCTCCCCTGCCCCCGAAGCCTACACTAGAATTCTCGTCGAAGTCCCCGAGGAACAAGATTTGGCGCCGCTGGTTGGCACCATGACTGACCTGATGCGCCGGCGCATTGTGGCCAACCCTCCACAGCTGTATGGCAGGATGACTCTGATCATCGGTGCAGCGCGTCGCGACCCCGAGATTGCCAAAATCTTGGGCGAGCACGGCAACTTTGCACGTCACATCCCTCATGATCTTATCAGCAAGGTTTCCTCCATCCTGGGATTGCCAGCCTGGTGTGCAGGTTTCGCTCTCTATGGTCCCCCAGAAGCCCAGGCGGGCCTTTTGGAAGCTGTCAAGCGGCGCTTCAAGCAGGTCAAGGGCGCAAAGGTTACACATGAGACTTTTAATGCCGTGCCTGGCGAGTATCTCAGAAGCGAGGATGTCACACAAGACTTCCTCCCTCAGAGCGGAGTTCCTTCCATCGATCATGTTTTGGCCTTCTCGTCAAAAGAGGACGGTCTCTGGCACAACTGCTACTCCCCTGTCCTACCACCCTCGGGCCGCGAGCTGTACGAGTGGTACGTCAGGGCCAAGAAGATCACCGAGGATCACGATCTTAATTTCCTTGCCGATTTTCACGTCTTCGACAGATACATCATAAGCATTAATTTGATCATGTTCCATCCCTCAGCCAAGGCCCGACTGCACGATGTCCAGCACGCTCTCATGGAGGACTCCAAGAAGCTGGGCTATTTGGAGTACCGCACCCACATCAGCTTCATGGATGCTACGGCGGCTCACCAGACGTTTAATAACGGTGCATTTGGGAGATTTACCACCATGTTGAAGGATACTATTGATCCCAACGGAATTTTGAGTCCAGGGAAGCAGGGTATTTGGAACTCGACGGCGAAGTTGGAAAGACTGGGGCTTGAGGAGAAGTAGGTGATTTGGGGTTGGTGGTAGGATTCGGATGTTTGTGTTGTTTCTCTACTTTTAGCTTAGTTAACGAGTTCTTGAATTTGTCCAAACTCGGGTAAAAGAACGGAATTCCTGGATGCGTGATAACGAGCAATGTACACCTTTTAAAAAGCAGATGGCCTCTTCACTATCTTTTATTCAGTCCTGTTATCTTTTGAGGTATGATTCATGACCTTTGCCCACAGCTTGAGCGCCACGGGATTGCGGTTGCTAAGGTAGGTACTCGGACTCCTCACACCCCCGAAACGGCGTCCGCTGGAAGATCATTGCCGCAAAGTGGGGATTGGTACCTGTCAAATCGTATATGGGGTCCAAAAAAGGTGTCAATTGTTATGTTGCAAGAGGGTGTGTTGCCCCGGGTGGCTGGAAAAGGCCGAACCCAGTGGCTCAGGTCCCATTGCCAAGATATTAATTCCTTAACAGTGGGCCTCATTGACTATTCTGACAGTACCCCACACACTCGACGACAAATATCTACTTACTCAAAACAACTTGTGCTTTCTCTCCAAGTCCCGATTTATTTCCATATCTACGAACGAATCAACCTGGAACTAAAGAACGCTGCAAACATGGCCGGGACACCCGCAACCACCACCGCCATCACCATAACCCCTCGTCCTGCTACACGATTCAAGAGAGAAAAGTACTCAAGTATTGCGTGGTCTGTTGTTTTACAATAATAGCCCACCGAAGGACGTGGCAGCTAATGGGTCTTATAGTGAGGAGTGCCGAGGCCGCAAGCTCAAATGTCGAACTACAGTTCCTGGCTGCTGTGATCGTTGTCGAGCTCAGGGCCTACAATGTCGAATCACTCGCCCACAGAGAGGCCTGAGAAGTCAACTGCGTCATATACCAGCTCCCACCAACGTCAGCCAAAACGATGACCCCATCGCACGGTTTCGCCAGTTGGAACATGAGCTCAATATTCTGCGTCACCAGGTTGCTCAGTTGACCTCATTCCATCAGAACCAAAGCCCCAGCCCACCGGCACAGCAGTCTCATGCTTCTGGATACTCTGACGAAGCAAAACCTTTCACCATCTCTCAAGTTCGGACTCGGGTTGAGCCACATTTTGTGGGCATGACACGGCCCACTTTCACCCTCAACATTGCCAAGGCTTCTCTAGAACTGATGGGGGTTGTTGTGGACAACGATAACGCTCACCTGGAGCCAGCACCATCACTGCCACGACAAGATGCATGCTCAGTCGCCGGAAATGATCCATTGCTGCGCCTTGCCCTCCCAGAAATACAGCGCCTTTATGCTGTCTTTCAGGATGAAATAGCCTCGTCATACCCTGCCTTTTACTGTCGGGATGTGGAGGCAAAAATACCAGACATCGTTGATCGGCTATCAGGGGTTGCTCATCAGGATGATGCCGCGCGCGTCCAGAAGCAGGCTCAATTTCTCAAAATAGCCATTGCGACAGCTCTTGTTTTAGAAAGAACTGGGAACAAGTTGGCAATGGACCTTTACACCTCGGTCGAGCATGAGACTGGCAAGATGTATGCCCATCCTCAGGTAGAGCTCATCGAGATTCGAACGGCGGCTATCATGGTGAGAATGAGCCTTTGCGTTAAGATTGGATAATTCCGGGGACTGATATTGAGGGGCAGGCAACGTACCACTTTTATTGTGACGAAGAGCTCTACGCCTGGCGCAGTGAGTTGCCTAATGATATGAGAAAATAATGGGCGTGCTGACATTACCCTAAGCTCTGGGCATTGCAGCTAGAATGGTACTAGAGATGGGCTTGCATCGACGGCAGAGTTTGATCACGAACTTTCTTGACCCGGCAGATCGAGAAGATGCTTTGGTTGTTTTCTGGTCTGTTTATTGCCTTGACCGTCGATGGAGCTTAGGTACTGGCCTGTCTTTTGCCATAGTTGACCGTGATGTTGACCCTGAGCTTCCTGATTTGGTTTGCATGTCACCCCCTCTGCAAGTTCGTTTGCTAACACAGGTCTTAGCCAGCACATCAAGTCTACCTTCGGTTGCTTGTCGACTATGCTCGCCTCTGCTCCAAGGTCTGGGAAGCCCTCCCCCAGTTCGGCAGCACATCAACCTCCCCATCTCCCGCGCTGATTCTTGATCAGCAAATCCAAGACTGGGTTTGCGGCATACCCTCCCCGTTCAGGCTGTCTTCTCACTTTTATCCCCCCATAAACCCGCCCACCCTTGACCTCGACTACCCCACCCTGACGCCCTCAAGAGCTGCACGCAACGTGCGCTCAATGATGCATCTTCGCGGCAACCATCTGCGGTCCCTAGTAAACCGCCACCATGTCCTCACCAGCAGCGCCATTGCCGCCAACCCTCCCCAAGCGCGCCTTGTCGTCCAAATAGCAAGGGATTCTATCCAGGTCATTGTCACGCTGAGTGAAGAAACCGACATCTACGCGCGGCAACAGCCGGCTTATAACCACTACCTCATATCGGCGCTCGCCATAGTCCTCCTCGCTACCTGCCATGCACCAGAATTATTCGCCGCCGCCTGTTGTCAAGACATTGCCGACGCCGTCAACCTTGTCAGGGGCTTCTCCGAGACCAGCATCGCGGGCCATCGGTTATGGAAGAGCATGTGCGGGATTGTCTCGGCGGTTTCAGCACTGGGCTTGGGATATCGCCACGCCGAGCAGCAGGCACATCACAGTGGAGATGAACATCAGACGCCACGGCCGTTTCCACAGCCACCGCATCAAATGGATGCTGATAAAGAGATGAGGGACTTTTTCAATTCTAGCTTTTACTACCCAGAGGCGGCGCCACCTGACATGTCCCATGTTGGAATGGATTTGATGGGTCTGTTTGATGCGTTTTGACACGGGAATAGCTTGGGGACCGGTCAGGGCTTTTCGCATAATCATGGGTCGATGGACGAGGTTATAGCATTACTGGTATCGAGTGGAGAAGTTGGGCCGGAGAATGATCATGTATCAAGGTATTTTCTGGGCTTGATATGAAGAAGAGTTGAGAGCTCGATACAGGAGGCCTCTGCCAAGGAATAGTTGGCGTTGCGAGCAGTATTGGGCCACTAACTGTGGATAAGGTCAGCCATCTTATGAGTCTTACTGCGTCGGGAGCGCAACAGTACAAAGCGTACCTAACTAAGGTGTTTAAGTCTATCTTTACAGGCAAGTCACCACAACTGCAGAATCTGCCATTTGCAGATTCCCACAATGCCGCTCCTGTTTTCAGCTGGTTGCGGTAGAAGTTCTCGTTGGTAACTTGAAGTTGCTTCTTTATGGACTTTTCAATAGTCCGAGATGTGCATTGAAAGCTGGTGAGATTTGATTCAATAAGACAGAGCAATAATAGGTGACTTTCTGTATTTATAGCGCTATCCTTCTATAATTCCACTATAGTACTCTGCAGCAGAGTTCGCACTCGACCTCTACCATATACCCCCGGGGGCCTCACAGGGTCTTGCCTCCTCCACCACTGTCACAGTTAACCCAACGGCAGGTCGCGCCACATGTGGGGCGCAGGTCGCCCCTAGCCAATCATTCAGGAAGTCAGGGCTAGGCAAAAGTGCTATGGCGCCAAGGCTCACGAGCAGTCTGCAGGATGCAAGATGCTAGGGATGATCAGAGGCATAGCACGACGAGCACAATGCAGATGCAATGTGCTAGGAGTGATCAGAGGTATAGCACGACGAGCACAATGCAGGATGCAATGTGCTAGGAGTGATCGGGGCCATAGCAGGGCGAGCACCTCACGGCCCCAAGGTCTATATATACGGAGGAACTGGCTGGTGTAGATAGACAGTTCCGCAGTATGTAATTCAAGCTTATATTCACGGTATCTAGTGTTTATATTGAGACATCTTGTTGTGCACTGTTTAGCTGCACCGAACCAATTGTCAGAAGTTACCTTCAACCAGTATTCCTTTCAGAGGTTCTGTATAGGGGTTCGTCACAACCACGCAGATGTGTTAGGGTCTGACCTGGAAGTCAAAAATTTGGCTGCGTTTTGCAAAAGACGTGCTCACGCCCATACAAAACAGGGCAAAATCGGCCACCAGCCTACTGTAGAGGCGGGTATCTGTGGGCACACAGGGCCGCTATTTCTACAGGGCATTTATAGAGCCTTTGTAGCCTAAATCCAAAATATAGGCCATTTTTGGCACCGTAGCGTCCGATGCAGGACTTCGAAGTTGACTTTGTACTAAGTAGATCCTCTGAGGTGCCAGGTAGGTGTATTGTGACCGTCTTCGCCGTATCTACTAGTTTCGGAACTAAACGCCTTATGGTATTACAGCAGTAACTTACTGTAAAATAGAGCTTACAGGGCCTCATTTTTAACAATTTATAAACTATTTATTAATACTGTACATCTAAAGCATTCTACCTTATCACTTAATATGTTTTTATAAGGTAATAGGTTAACTTGGTAGGACTCTTAAGTGGTGCAAGCATCGATCTGTTTTTGTCAATACGGTGCGACACGCTAAGCTTACAGAGCCTTGCAAAGCGAGCATCTTCAACCTTGAAAATCACCAAAATCAAGCAACAGCATCCACATCCACGGCAACACACCCAGGTAATCCAGTTCCTCGTGTGCAGCAAGCAATGACTAATCTCTTCTGTCCAGGACTCCTAATGGCCACCGGGCAATTGATCGATTGACTGGCGCGGGTGATGGTCAGATGGTGGTTGTGCTCTGTGCAAGTGGAAGAACCTGGATCCCTGTTGACCCCTGCGCGTGCATGGTGCGCAAGTATTGCGGCCCTAAAAGCAGGAGTTTTGTGATCAATGTCACATAGTCAATCACTGTGGCAAGACAAGAGAAACTTGGAAGATAGGAAAGCAGTCGTCAATGTTTCCAGGCTATCACTCGTATTATAACCGCACCTGGCTCTTTCTTTCGCATGCGGAACATCTCCTCCTTCTCACTCTCTTATGTATTGACTGCGTTGAGGGACGCACAGCCTTGCCACATACCTACCTAGAGTCAAATGACTGGTATCCCACCTGGCACTGAACCGTAAGTGATTCTTTCAGAGTTGCCTCGAAAGAAAGTTTATTCCAGAATAAACGGTTGTCCCTCAAGAACTATAATGAACGGAAGTGAATAAAGTTATTTTCAATAGGCCGGCTGAGCTGGCTTCTGCCCCAAGAGTCCCTTCCGAATTATAACCTAAACCTTCCTTCCTTCTTTCCTTTATGTTAAGGGTTCTATATCTGCCTGATAAATATACGCCCGGACGCGCTTAATACGTGAAAAGTAAAAGAAGGAAGGAGGAAGGGAGGGAAAGGGGAAGGAACGGGTAAGTGGAGTATTGGAACGTGTATGAAAAGTATAGGTGTCTATTTTCTCGTTCCTCTTCCTCTCTCCTCTCCTTCAGACTATTGTACTTGATTTTAAGCGATTATCAATACTATTATTAGCTATTTCTCGCGCTTCCTCGCTCTCCATACGGCGCCTACACACTATATCCCGGCTCGCCCGCTGCCGCCCGCTGCCGCCCGCTGCCGCCCGCTACCGCCGCTGCGATGCTCGACCCATCCCGTATCGTGTTGCCTCCTTCTAGAATTAGAAGGACAGTTTTTAGACTAAACGGATCACTCCGGGGCGGTCCTTTTTAGGCTGTCTGACTGATTCCTTGAGGGTTGGTACTCGTATTAGTCGAGGTGGTAGAGTAGTGTATGTGGGTGTGTCTATATGTGTGTGGATCCTTTCCTAAGTCAAGAGTTGCCGGCCCGAGAGATAAAAATATCTAAATAAACCTATTCCGATCAGGGCGGTCCTCTTTTATTTTTATTCCTATCCTTCGTAAAGGTATATTGGTAGCTTAATCCGTATAGTATTACATAAATCCTAATAATAGATATAGCACTAATCCACTGTCACAACCCTGGTACAGAACGGTTGTGGGGGCCACGGGAATAGGGGCCAATCGGGAGAACGTATAGGGAACCACTTATAGTGGAGCAAGAGTGGATCGGTCTGATCAGGGCGCCAAGCAGACTGAGCAGAGTGATCAGTGTGATCAGGGCACTGAGCAGACTGAGCAGAGTGATCAGTGTGATCAGGGCACTGAGCAGACTGAGCAGAGTGATCAGTGTGATCAGGGCACTGAGCAGACTGAGCAGAGGTGATCAGTGGCCTTAGGAGACTGATCATGGCTTAGCACAAGGACTATATATACGGAGGAACTGGCTGGTGTAGATAGACAGTTCCGCAGTATGCAATTCAAGCCTGCATTCACGGTATCTAGTGTTTGCATTGAGACATCCTGTTGTGCACTGTTTAGCTGCACCGAACCAATTGTCAGAAGTTACCTTCAACCAGTATCCCTTTCAGAGGTTCTGTACAGGGGTTCGTCACATCCACCCTTAGCTAAAATATTAATCTCGAATATTATGCATAATGCCTTATAGGTCAGTCCCTTGCGATTTTTCTTAGTTTACAATCTTGATTTAGTCTTTCTGTTTCTCTTTTCTTTTCCTGTTGTTCCGTGATCTTTTGTCGTGAGATTGTGCCTGGCCTTTACCTTGGCCTGTTCACATGTACTAAATACGACGAATATACACACTGCTGCTACCTCACTTTTCCACTGTCCCACTGTCCCACTGTCCCACTGTCCCACTGTCCCACTGTGTCCTAATGGCCTGATGCCTTGACATGCTTGGCATGGTTGATATGCCTCGATCATATGCCTTGATATGCTTCGAGTCACCTCTACCCCAATCCTCTGATATGTCCTGACATACCCGGTGCCCGAAGTGCATTGACATGCTCTGGCATGCCCTGTGTGATGGCCTCACTAATGTGCGATGAAAAGACTCCTTACGCAACAGAACTTCCAAGAAGGTCGCCCCCGAGCCCCTGAACTCGATCGAGGTTGCCGTACCCGAGCGCCCAAGACGGTCGACAAGGCGCCGCCTTGCGCCCCTGACACCGCCCCTGAGCCCCTGCCTACCGTCCCTGAGCCCTTAAGAAGGTCTAAGAGATCTCGCGTACAGACGCAAGACACTCGCTCGGCCGAGGAAGCTGTCGCCCCCGAGCTAACAAGACAAGCCAAGGAGCAGCGTTTGCAAACACCAGATGAGGTTTTAATTATAGAGGAGGAGGAGGATGATGGGGGGTAGGAGGAGATTGATCCGGAAGCAGTATTGTTGGTTTTGAACAACTCAGCCATCTTTTCAGTCTCACTGCGTCTGGAGCGCAACAGCCCAAAGCGCAACTAAGGTATTCAAGTCTATATTTACGGGTACTCATTTCTCACCGGAACCCTCTTTTTGCGTGGAACACCGCTCGCACAGAATGTTGCATGGCGTTGTTTCTCTACGGGTTAATGATGACGTACTCGAGTGAGGTGTGTGGGCCCATTAGATAGGTATGACTCCTTCGTAAATGGTATTTTCCGTCAAATCGAAACCATTACATGCTGTCACTATCAGTGGGCCTGGCGGCTAGCCAAGTCTACTGGAGTTAAGTTGTGGAAATATCGCCATTCCGGGCCGGGAGCGCGGACCAACCCCGCCCGAGTTTCAATGTTCCTCCAAAGGGCAGGTCGCGATCTCATCCCACAGGTATTCAAAAGAGCCAAATGTGATACATCGATTCATTAATATTTCCAAATGTGACCCGGAACTTCTTCTCTCACAAAACACAATAACAAACAACTTTCTCCTCCACGACACACACACACGATGGCGTCTCTTGCAGGGCGGCTCCTCGGGCTGGCTTCTTTGGCTTCAGCCTTTGTCAGTCGAGACGGGACCGGCCGTCTCCCAGCTATGGGATGGAACTCTTGGAACGAGTACGAATGCAACATCAGCGAGGGAGTCTTCATCACCGTGGCCAGGCAGTTGGTTGACTTGGGGCTCAAGGACCTCGGCTATGAATACGTCAACATTGATGATTGCTGGAGCGACAAAGAACTAAGACGTGACGCAACGACCGGCGAGTTGATACCCGACGCCGAGAAATTCCCTCGGGGCATTGTCAAGGTGGCAGAGGAGGTCCACTCACTGGGGCTGAAGTTGGGCATCTACAGTGATGCAGGTTTGTTCACTTCACCCTCTTGACGGTGCTTATTCATCACACTAACCATTGTGGTTTGGCCAAGGCACCGATACATGTGGTGGTTACGCAGGATCACTCGGGTATGAAGAACTGGATGCTGCAACATTCAGCAAATGGGGCATTGACTGTATGTTCCTCGCCCACGTGTTATTGCCTAAGACTCACAGCAGAGGGCCAAGATCTCAAGTACGACAACTGCAATGTGCCACCAGAATGGGCTGATGAATACGAGTACATCCCCGAGGAACCAGCCAACAATGCCCCCCCTGGCTATGACTGGGGGACATCCAACACCGCTAAACGCTACCGTGTTATGCATGACGCCCTCCAAAGACAGAACCGCACCATCCAATACTCACTCTGCGCCTGGGGCCACGCACACGTCGAGCGCTGGGGTAACAGCACCGGTCACTCGTGGAGAATGTGGGGAGACATCTTCCCCGCGTGGAAGGGCAAAGAGAAATGGAGCTGGGGCCTGATGCCGATTGTCAACCAGGCATCACTGTTTTGGAATTATACTGATTTCGGAAGCCACAATGACTGGGACATGCTCGAGGTTGGCAATGGGGACCTGACGATCGAGGAGAACCGCAGCCACTTTGCTCTTTGGTGTGCTTTGAAAAGCGCGCTTATCGTCGGAACCCCCCTGGATACATTGGCGTTGAGAAAGCCCATTCTCGACATTCTTTCCAACAAGGAGCTGATCGACTTCAACCAAGACCCGGTTTATGGTGCTTCGGCCATGCCCTACAAATGGGGCAACGACAGGCCCGCCAACACGTCGGACAGGGACCATCCGGCTGCTTTTTGGGTGGGCACATCGGTCAAGGGGATCCATGTTTTTCTGCTCAATACACATGACACGGCTGTAAACATGCGGGCTGTCTTTGCCGAGATCCCACCCTTGAAGTCTGGGGGCAAGGGTTATTTGGTACACGACATGTGGACAGGGGAGGATCTCGGGATTTTTAGGAAGTATTTTGAGTTGGAGGTCAAGGCGCATGATACTGCCGCGCTGACAATTACCAAGGCTGATGGTAAGGCATCGTCAAATGGGCTTAGATGTCTCAGCTCGCTGACTTTAAGTTTCAGGGAAACATCCTAATCCTCGGTGGTCCCCAAAATAAGGGATGAGCCAATGTGGCGCAGGCTCCCTTTCTACCGAGGAAGAAATGGGTTGTCGCCATTTTAACGCTACACAGGTTCTATAGTTGCCAGTGCACCTTTAACACAGCCTCGTGTTACATGCTCCGCTACGCTAGAGGCCTTGATGACATTGCAGATTGGTTTAAGAATATTATCAAGGACGTCTATATCATATCTAAGGGAATTTACACCATCTTTGAAGGCCTTCCCACTATCTTCATAGGCCTTTCTACTATCTTTATAGACCTTGTGCAGTCTTTGTAGGTCTTTGGCCTATCCTCACAGGAATTCTCACTATCTTTGAATACATTTCCGCTATGTTTCAAGGCCTCTCGTCCTCGTCCTCTTCACCTCCGTCTTCACCAATTGTTCATACCTTTTCCGCTTGAGCGTGTGTCCGGCTCGGGCAGCTGGATGTTCTTAACCGTGCCCATACTCACCGTAGACTTGCATGTCTTTCTCAGCATCGGAGCAAAGCCGAAAAGCAACCTTCCAGTTCCGGCGAGGCTTCTACCTGTAGCTTGTTCCCCGAACGATGTTTCATACACTCCAGTGCGACCATGTCGATATTGCCCACAGGAAGGAGAATCTCGCTATCTGCTGAGTCGGCAGGGCAAAGGTTGTGGTATCTACCAGTTGCCTGCCATCGTGTGTAACCTACCATTAAAATAGTATGTTGTATTCAATAAAGCTTGATAGGTACCAGCTATCGTAGACACCTAGTGCGACATCTGTGATAGTAATGGTTTGATGTAGACGATGTAAAAGAGATAGAGATAGGCAAAAAAAATGAAGAGTAAATAGAATAATAAAAAGAGAATAATATTAGGACAAAAAGAAAGAAAAGGGGTATGGATAATATTGAGAAGCTCAGTCGTGTTTATAGAGCTAAATTAGGAAGAAGCGACTACATTGACACCCGACTGGGCTTCGTCGACCACGTGACCGACAGAGGAAGATGTAGAGAGCGATAGAAGATCTTTTGTAGAAGTGTGTTTTTGCTACAAGAGAAAAGAGGAATCGACTGGAAAGGAGAGCGCAGAAGAGGGGGATGTGAAGCAGGGGCGGCGGGGAAAAGGTGCTTTGCCGGGTGTTCTCGAGCAGAAGGATGCTTGCCTACCGGCGGGATTCGGGAGATATGTCATATCCGTCACCTTTGAGTTGTTATATGTAAAGAAAGCTGCATCAGTTATGAATCTCGGAGTTTTGCTGTCATTTCGCGCAGAAATAATGCAGTCATCTTTTGAAGTTTCTTGGCAGACAGACCTACTTGCATTACCCACAGATAACCCTTAAGCGGGTTGGGCTTGGAGCAGTGCCTTGGGTTTCTCAGGACTAGGGTTAAACTACCTAGGCTTAGGCCTCGCGCTGCATATGATGAATTGTCCACCTCAAACATTGCAAAACGTACACCTAGTGCAAGACGGTGAGCGCAATTATTTGAATGTCATGTGGAAAACAGGCATATCGTGTTGTAAGTTACCTGGTAGGCAAGGATTTGCTGCCTCCCTCCCTCCTGTCCAATAGGGTCTTTACCGGTAGAAGACGCTCTGCATCATGCCTGCACCCCAGACTGAGTTGCATTCCAGTGTGTGCCGCCGTGTCCAAAACAAGCATAATTATATTGCCCTAACCTTCATTCGCTTGCCGGCCGGTTCGTTGGCTTCCGACTCGGAACAACAACCACAAATCAACTCCACATAAGCTACCACTCAAGACAGCCGTCTGGTAAGGTGAGTGAAATGCCGGCGCCTTCATAAAAAACAGGATCCGCCCAACAGCTTGGCACCTTGTTTATTTTGTGACCAATCCATATGAACATGCTACTCTTTGCCGGTTTCCGGCATAAAAACATGTCCATCTGGGGCCCAACGCTCCAATGATCGTCATCCAAAGTCAAATTGACGAGGGATAATGGGTCCTTGTGTAATGGATAAACTCCATCTGGTCGGTCAGTCTCCTCAGTTTAATGACTGTCTCCATCTTATGCAAGGCAGGTAAGAAAAACGTGCTCCTGATGAAAGATGATAATAGCCGGGATGGGCACGTGGAAAACACGCATGGGATCCCAAAAAAGGGAAAGAAGAAAAGGGGACCAGGCCCCCGGATCAAAACCCTTTTTTTCTTGTGGTTTCCAGAAGGTAGTGAAAGACAGGCAATAAGTCTGGTGTCAACAATGCTTCTTTGGACAACCGCATTTCTTGCCAGCCTGGTGGCTGCGCAGACATACCCCCCTGATGTTGTCGATCAACTTGCTGCCGCTAGTCTGCCAAAGGTGAAGGAGTGGCTGGCAAAGAATCCCCAGGGCAACTGCACTTTGGAGACGGCGGTGAGGAGAAAGGAATGGTGAGTGTAGCGGTGCCGTGCTGATGATATCTCGTCCCAGCAAAGGCTGACAATTGCAGGATGGATTTGACCCTCGCCCAGAGAAAGGAGTACACCAATGCTGTCCTCTGTTTGATGTCCAAGCCAGCCTTAACCTCCTCTGCCGCCCCCGGAGCAAAGAGCCGGTTCGATGATTACATCGTCGTCCACGTCCAGCAGACGCCGAGAAACCACGGATCCGTACGAGTCTATACTTCTAATACATATCCTGTGCTCATCTCTAACCCGTACGCAGACCTTCTTCTTACCCTGGCACCGCTATTACGTATGGCACTACGAGCAAGCCCTTCGCAACGAGTGTGGATACAAGGGATATCAACCGGTATGTGGCTTTCACCGTTCCTGTCCCCCCTTACACTACCGATCATTGACACTCAACTTTCAAGTATTGGAACTGGGATCGCTACCACAAAGACCCTGCCAACTCCCCTCTCTTCGACGGTTCTGAAGGCAGCATGGGAGGCAACGGCGCCAAAGCCAGCTACAATGGCATCATGATCCCAGGGTTTGTTCTCTCCCGCTATTGGAATTATCTGACTAGTAGCTTACCTTACCCTGGTACGAAGCGCCCCTAGGCCATATGACCGCATTCCCCCAGCCGACGGAGGTGGTTGTGTCACAACTGGGCCTTTCAAGAAGTATGTCTGTACCATTCTTTGGTGTTCAGGTGTCGGGCTGAGATGGTACAACACCCATGAAGCAATAACAGCCATGCTAACCCCGCTTGCTCAGTATGACCGTCAATTTAGGACCAATTGCCCCTATCTTACAGCTGACACGCAACCCCCGTGCTGATGGGCTCGGCTACAATCCTAGATGTCTGCGCCGCGACATCAATAAGAACTCAGCTGCTGTAACATCCGCAAAGGACGTTTACGACGTCATCACCAAGAACAACGATGCTCATTGGTTCCAGACAGTGATGGAGGTAAGACGACCTTTGACAGTTGGGACGATATGTGGCTGACTTGATGTATTAGGGTCAATTTCCTCAAGGGAAATGGGGAATCCATGCTGTAAGACCTTTCTTTGAGTCTTTTACAGCGGGCCGGGCTAGCGATATACCAATTTGTGCTACGCCGATGCCACATTTCTTCTTTTTCTCCTTTTCTTGATTTTTTTCATGTTTTCACCAAAGACTCTGATCCCAATCAACCAAGCTAACGTTTGAGAAACAACAGGGGGGGCACTACACTGTCGGGGGGGATCCCGGAGGGGTGAGGAACTGCCTTCGATTGCTCTTATTGCCTGGAGATGCTGACGGACCTTGGAACAGGACTTCTATACCAGCCCGGGTGATCCCGCCTTTTGGCTTCATCACACCATGATTGACCGTGTTTGGTGGATCTGGCAAATCCAAGTATGTCCAACTATCGTCTATAAAGCCTTTATGAACCTGGAACAAAAAACTAATACGATATTGTCAGAACTTGGAAAAGAGACTCAAAGAGGTCAGTCACACGAGAACCATGTCAAACTTCCCACCATCTGCCAACGGGACCCTTGACGACCTGAGCGGGCTGGGTGTTTTGGCGCCCGATGTCGAGGTGAGGGAGCTGATGAGCACAATGGGTGGGTTGATGGGCAAGTTCTGTTACATTTATGAGTAAAGTTGGGGGCGGGGGAGGTGGGGGGTTTGTAGGCGTCAACACGGTGACAGAATCGATTCAAGCAACTTATGTTCCATCTTGATACGAAGATGGGGGATGGTGTTAGACTTGGAGGCGTTCAGAGATAGTCAAAGACAATTGTAGCTCGTGGGTTGTGGAGGGTTAGGGTTAAATCCCATGACTTGAAGGATAGCCAACAGGCCTTGAATGATAGTTGAAAGACCCAAAGAGATAGCGTACTGGCCTTACAACACAGACAATAGACGTGTCATGCCTTCTTCAATGGGGCTTGGAATAATTCTTGGGGGATGGACCGAGGAGAACCAATATCCTGTTGCTTGAGCATTTCCAGATCGCTATGTCGTCCAGCATCCAACAACTCCATCGCCGCCAGGAACTCAACTACCCGTAAAGTCCGGCGATGTGCTCACTTCCCTGCTACTCATGAGCTTTATATGGCGCGCTCCTATGGTGACAGGGCCTGTGGTGGGCCATGTTTGTTCTAACTTGGTGCAACCCATGATTCGAGTATGCCAAAAGCACGAATTGATGTCGGGATCTCAGATGCTATGTGTTCCGACAACAAAGCCAGGCAACAAAGTAGCCTTCCATGTCGGAAGCGTCTTACCGAGCTAAGTCCCGTGGAAGGCGAAGCTGGGGATTGTGGATGACACGCTTGTGGTCAATGCACGGACCTGCCGTTTTTAGCGACCTCGTGACACGTGATTGGCTGATTCATTTCAGCCGCCCAGCATGGGCGGGGAGTAAGGCGGATCCCGCAGGCTCCCCAGCTCAGACACGGAGACACAGCTGGCACAAAACGGCAGACGCGGACAAAGCTGAAGCAATGACACAATACACGGCACACGACTTTCCCACTCAGAGCTTATCACACGCTGGCATAGCGTCAGAGAATTAATCAAGTCACAATGCGAGATTACCCTACTCCCCACACTGTTGATTGCCGTCCTCTCCGTTCTCTCCGCCACCGACAAACAACGCCCACCGCAAGCCTCCCTCGTCATCTCAAGCCGCCATTGGGCTACCTGGAAGGCTATTAAACCAACCTTCGACATCCTCACGGACCGTCTTCTTGATCTGGCACTTGTTCGCCGTCGCAATATCCTGGCTCTTCTGGTTTCCGCAAGTGGCGCTGAAACAACCATTGGCATCCATGGCCCGCTGGAGCGCATCGCCCTTCCACCCAAAGACGTAGTCGCCGTGCTGGCCGTACCCCGTCTTGTCACCCGTCGACAACACAAACGGCTGCGAGCCATCGGCTGGCCACTCAGCCTTGTTGTTGAACTTGGTCGTGTCCCAGACAATCTCAAGCATGAGCTGCGGAATTTTGACGGGGTGACTGGCAGGGCAGTTTCCGGTAGACAGGAAGTTGGAGGGGCCGGAGGTGGGATATGCGACGTGATCCTTGTGGTTGGGCGTGTCGAGGTTCTTCCCGTCCCAGCATCTGTGGAGAATCAGCACATGTGCGTGTTAAGGACCCACAAGAGACATACGTTGGGTACAACACGTTGGACCTTATACCACCGAGACAGGGACCAGTCGGGAAGCCTTCAAAGTCGAGGCGGGAATCAGCGCACGGCGCCATGTCATCGCCGCCGAAGTTGGGCCCGCTGTAGCATCGGAAGCAGCTCTGCATTTTGTATCTGCCATGTTGTTAAAATAGAAGTTCTCAAAGGTCATACTGAACTGGTTACTTTGGTTCTCGTCGATTTACGTCGCCAACAAACATTCTGAAGCCCTGTTTTCTGTGTTAGCAGGAGTTATTGGCCCTTCTGAGGACAGCTTACAGGCTTGAATGCAGTCACAGTCTTGGCCCGGGGAGCAATCTGGTTTTTTGTTAGTATGAGCTTATGAGGTATAATACAGATTCAATCTCTCCATTGCCGGGGAAACAAGAACATCGAACTCGGCCCACAGTGAGGGCTAGGGCTAGGGTATGCCAAAAAAAGACGCGTTCTGGATGGCCAGAACCGCCTGAGAAAGGAAAAGTGAAGAGTGACAAGGAAACGGGAGCCAGGACATAATAAACTACGGCTCCGCCTGTAATTTGGGTGGTAAAACGATCATTAAACAGGAAGCTGGGAGAAAGTCAGTTGATGTGACACCAACCACCAGACAACACCAGACACAAATACCGGTTGGGCGCCTGCGGGACGCGCTTGTAGCTACCATTTCTCGCCCGGAAGTACACGTTGGCGGTCCAGTAGTTGGAGAAGTCATCTGCCGGGCCGCAAGTTGTGCAGGTTGCCAAATTCGCGATGTCGGTATTGTAGGGCATGGACGCGTTCTGTTATACACACATTAGCATTCTTGTACCAACCCTTAGATCTCGGAAAGATTTACAAACGCGTTACCGCCGATAATTTGATGCATATGTGGCGTCGGGAACTCTCCTGGATTGACAAGAGGATCCAGACGTTCGACGGTGAGTTGGGAGCACCCGAACCGTAAGTGGTTGAGGCCGTTCAAGCCTTGACCGTTGACGGCCGCTGCCAGGGCAAGGGCTTTCCAATACATGGTGGACGAGGATGGCACTTAGTTTGGGCTCAGAAGGGGAAGGGTGATGGAGAGAAAGGCAGAAAGGACTTCAAACCCGTTTCGACGCAGGAGCCCTTTCATATTCTTCCTCGTCAGTGTTGTGCAACACGACGACTTCATAGGGGGAGAAATGCCTTGCCACACCACCAGCAAATTGCAGCCCAAAATTAGACTGCTTTTGCAGTCACGCCTCGGTCCAACCAACCGAGCATAGCGAACATCATATCTCGATGGAGGTTGGCACTCTATTCAGATTAATAATTTGGCATGTTGTATGTCTTGACCTATCGGCAGAATGGGGGCAACTTCTCGGGTATTGTGGGGTTGCGTCCTCCTCCTACAGTTTGGCGACATGATTCTCGGCAAATCTGTCCGCGCTTCGGAATGATCCGAAGACAAGCAATGATGTCCCGCTTGCTTGGCTCCTTAGTGCGTGGCAGGAAGCCGATTGGTTGGCAGTTGGGAAGGATGGAGACTGACGGCCTTGTTGTTGGCAGCTGACGACTCTTGGTGTCTTGGTCGCCAAAGAAATCAACAGGCTGCAAGAGGAGGGAGGTCCACGATGGTTATCTCCCAAGGTAAAAGGGATGTCTGTTGGATAATTGGTCTTTTGCTTGCAGTCACCCATTGCATGTACGACGAAGGGTCTGGGCAATCAGTGTCACCTCTTTGTTAGTACATAATGACGGCTTCATTCAGCCATTGAGACATCCACTAAACACACATCCCCATCAGCGCAGGAAATGCTTCACTGAATAGATACACTCAACCCGGCCTCTTAGCCCCTGAATGAGAAGTATGAGAACCCCACAAGAGTACTCATAGGGGGGAACATCGTGGGATCATCACGGAGAACACGTATGCCAGCCAATGACTTTCTAACCGAACAATAATCATCGAGGGTACCTATCTGCCCACTGGCTGGGTGGGGGACCTGCTCAAGCGTAACCCGATGGCTGTGGACAGAATAAGTGATAAGATATTAGACAAAACACAGAAACATCGATTCTGTTCAGGCCTTGAAAGAAATGCAGGATTGTACTGGGCCAACACAAGTAGCATGGAATTCATCATCTGGGTGGCATATGGTAACTATACCTATTCATCCCGCTGATGTTAAGCCTCCCAACTACATACAACGTTGAACAGGGGGGCAACAGGATGTGCAAAACCGGAGAAGTCCCTGTGGGTGCAGTGGTTAGCAAATCCAAATGGTGTGATAGTGTCTAGGTGTGGATGGACCCAAGCTCGAGTCTTTGAGACATAGCCAACAGGCCTGGAAGCATCTATCAATGGGCCTCGAGGGATAATCGAGGTGCCTTTAAAGAGGATTAACACCTTTCCAAAGATGATTAATGGGCCTCGAAAGATGTATAATAGGCCTCGAAAGATAATTAATGGGCGTTGAAAGATAGCCAATAGGCCTGGAAGGGAGGTTAGGGGGGATACTTGCTTTTTGGAGAGGTGTGAGCTTGTGCTTATCACCCTGTTGCTGGCTTGCAGTGGGAACAGTTCGGCTGAGAAAAAAAAGAAATAACCAAGCAAGGCTGCAGCATCAATGTTGTTGGCCCATACCGCGTTGTAAAGGACTTCGACAGCTGGAAATAAAAGTGGAGATAATACAGCAGGGCTTCAGGTCTTCAGCTTTGTTGAACGACGCGACAACGGCATCAACTAACCGTTTTGGGATGCCAAAAAGCGCTATTGAGCCTTCCAGCCCCGTCCCGGGAAATTTGACCCCAGCAATAATTGAGCCACGCCACGTTCTAGATCGCCAAACAATGTTCTTGACTTCATCTCGACAGGGGTCAAATCCAACCATGCAGTCGGGGTCCGGGGAATGGGGTTTTAAAGAGCCGACTTTCCCTTTTCTTCTTGATGGCCCTCGACCATCTCTCACACTCTTTTGCCAACATTCTCACTCAAGTCATTCGTTTACTTTGCCGCAACGACAGCAACCATGAAGCAGGGAGTTACCCTCTTATCGGCTTTCGGCTGGCTGCAGCTAGCATCTGCTGGATGCTGCCGGTCAAACAAATGTTTGCAAGACATCACCAATCCTCTCTTTGATGGCCCGCAGGATTGCTTGTCGCTTCTTGCTGTCACCATCACGCCAGAGGCCAGCACAGTGACCGAAACGGTGACCGAAGTTCCTACAATGAGCTGGGTTGAGACGGTCGTTTTCACTGAAACGGTGACATCCATTCTTGTAACAGAGACAGAACTGCAAACCGTTGATATTACCACAACGGCCGACACCGAGACGGTTGTGGTCACCGTCACCAAAACCATTGTGGCAACCGACACCAGCCTTCAGACCTTAACCACCACGGTCGCTCCGGCGTCGACTCGCATCTATGCTCGTGCTGCCGAGACCGAGCTGTCTCCCTCCATGCCCTCATATGCCACGGCAAACTGCCCTTCGTGGGAGAAGTACGTCAAGGCGTGCAAATGCGCGGGCGTTACGGCAACCACCATCACCGCCGAAGGCCCGTCAGCCACCACTCTGACCTCCACTTTCACCGACACAGCGGCCATCATCTCCGTTCCCACCACGATCTCCATTATCACCACCGTCGTTGAGTCCGCCGTCACCACCGTGACCGACACCGAGACAAGCACCGCGCTGGTCACCGACACCGTCTCCTCCACCTTGACAGTAGACACCCCCTCGACCGTCACAATCACCCAAACCGTCGTCGAGACCGTCTCCCCACAAGCAAGCTGCAAGCCCGGCCCCCAAGTCTTCAAAGCCTTTGCTCTCGAGGCAGGCACCACCCCCGTATACTACATCTACGCCAACCTCCTCAACGGCCTCACTGGCGGCATCAGCTGGCAAGGACCTAGCAGCTCCACAGCCGCCAGCGTTCAAAATAAATATATATGGTCGATCGATCAGAATGGCTATCTCGGTCTGGCGTACAACGTCCCTCCTTACACTTATTCCTACACGGCGTACATGAGCACGGCGTCTCCGGGGAGCAACTGGCCGCAGGTCAACACTGCTTCGTCGGTGGATGCGCAGATTGCAGGCGGAGCTGCCATTTCAAAAATCAAGGGATGTATCAACTCGTTGACGGGCGAGTTGACCCTCTCGGTTGCTGGGCGGAAAAACATTTTGTGGTGCGGGCAGCAGATGTGGATGTCGGCTGGGTTGGGGGAGGACATTAATCGGGGGACCTGTATACAAATGTTTCCGAAGGTGATTTCTTTGTAATGGCTTGTAGATAGGTATCTGGGCGGCGATGGTGATGAGAGTTATTGCGAGCTTTGAATGTACCCCATGTTACGTTTGGAAATGCCAGTGCGAAGAAAGAGGTTCACTGGTGATCCTGAGTATGAAATGGTTGCGAGCCTCAGTTTGAACAGCGTCACTGTGCAAGGGTCGCCGGTTGAGTTGTCGTTTTCTTTTTTTTATTCCAAAAAGAAAATATGTATTATTTGACAGCAGTTCCAATAATAACTCCCCTATAGTATTTCATTCCTCTTAACCTATAGTTACCATTCATCTTTTCTTTCATTTATAGCTCTATTCCCGAGAGCATGTTGGTGTTATTGTTGCGTTTTTCGCCGAAAGCGACCCCCCACGAAGCGGGTGCCGCGAATCTATCTAATAATAGGTACAGACGCACACTGGCAGTCTTAAGTGCTATTTCTACAGGTAATCAAGCCGATGGGTATTCCCGGTCGCAGTTTGAAGGCGTAAAGTCTCTCACCAGCGCTGCTCCCCTCTCCAAACTGGGTTTATTCTCGAAAGCAGGCTGGGCTTAATAAACAAACCCTGGCAAATAACTAACAATAGGAGAAATGGCTCGATGGTCAAGTGGTATGGTGGCCAAGTGGTATAGCAGTCTGAACTACGGCATTTGCTCTAGCATGACTAAAGCAGTTGTGCTTGGAAAGTTGTGAGTTTGAATCTCACCACGGCTATTCTCCTTTCTGTACCCGGGGGTTTTTTTTTTCGCTTCAGGCACTCTAGAAGTCTTTTAATGGCTTAGTAACAGTTTCAGATAGCCATTGTATTGTAGATATTATGGTTTTCCTTTTGCCTTTACATCAATTCCATACTTTCCTGTATGTGGATATGGCTTCCCAAGTGAGATGGGTGGATGATATGATGTCAAGCCGCGCGACTCTGAATGGCACTGTGCCACCTTTCGCATCGTCTCGCATTTGTTCGGCAATAACTCCTAACCGCCCCACCATACCCAATCGCGCGAGAGAAGGGCATTGAAAAGCTGATCTGAATATCGACAGCAAGAAAGTTGCTCCGGACATAAGAAGGTCATCACCGGCTAAGTCCGCCAAGGGGTGAAAAAGTTAAGAACAGACAAGGGTTTGGACCCTCGCCCCGAGCATTGTGGGCAGCGGCTACTTTCATTCACTCAGCGATAACGGCCTCAACAATGACCAGCTCTCCGCAGCAACCTTTGACCTTCCTCATCACTGGTTGTTCCTCAGGTTTTGGTCTTCTGCTCTCCAGGCTTGTCCTTGACCAAGGCCACAACCTCATCGCCACCTCCCGTTCTCCCTCGAGAACTCGCGAAGTCGTCGACGAGATTCTTTCCCACCCCGGTGCCGGAACCCGCCAGTGGCTGGAACTCGATGTCAACGACCCAGTGAGATGCCACGAGCTCATCAACGACCTGGAAACCTCCAACGGTACCGCCATTGATGTACTGGTCAACAATGCTGGCTTCTGCATCCTTGGCCCTGCAGAGCTGCTGGAAGAAGACGAGTTGAGAGAGATGATGGACACAATGTACTTTGGTCCCGCTCGTCTTGCACGGCTTGTTCTTCCGTTCATGAGACAGCGGAAGAAGGGTGTGATTGTGAATATGAGTAGTGGGGCTGGGTTGGAAGGAAGAGAGAGCATGGCTGGCTATGCGGCTGCTATGGCGGCGCTGGATGGTGAGACTATACCAGGTACAATGGAGGTACGAACGAAAGCAAGCTGATTGGCACAACAGGATTCTCCAAGGTTCTCGCTACAGAGATTGCGCCGTTAGGTGTTAGAGTATTGACGGTTCAGTTGGGAGCTTTTGATCATACATCTATGGGCGACAACGCCAGGGCTGCAAGACAATATCGGCAGGGGGATGTGCCTACTGAGTATGTTGGGTCAGTGGCCGGCCAAATTACCAAGTCCCTGACTGGAGGCAAGTTGGCCACTGTGGCAGATGGTGATTCAAAGAAAGCTGCCAAGGCAGTCTATGATGTTATTGTTGGTGAGGGGGTGGGTTTTGGAAAAGAAAAGGAACGAATGTTGCCTCTGGGAAGAGACCTCGATAAAAGACTCAGGGAGGTTATCGGGGGGTATCAGCATGCCTTGGACGTTTTTGGGGACATCTGTAACAAGGTTCACAAAGATTGAGTCTGATCGAGTGGTTGTACTAGGCAGCCCTTTTCTATGAGTCGGATGGTCCTTCCTGTCTAGTAGTGAAAATTGCTCTATTTACCTGAACAAGATGTCAACCAGCCTTCTTCTTTTCTGATTCTGAGGGGATTTCTTTCTGAGAGATGTGGTTGATGGTGGAGTCCGGGGTGGAGCAGAAAAGGGGAGGAATGGCGATGAGCGCCGGAGTTTAGCCGCCCACATAGACTCTAACACTTTGCCTGTTTTCAATGCTAGGACCGTCGCTCTCAACTGTATTTCCAACGTTCAAGTGAATTGTTGTTCTCAAGAAACCATGCTGTTCGTCAGATCCATCTCAACGGGCGATTTTAGTGACTCGGGGACTCCCGACGTTAGAGGCATCTGGTCCAGAAGTGTAAAGGCTAGGTGGCGTCAGAATCAACCTGCTGAGTGGTCTTGAGGGCCCCATGTCAGGTTGGGCGAGGAGCCTGATTCCAGTGCGCTCTGGTAGTCAGGATATCTCTGGCGGGGGACGGTGTTGACACCTGCTGCTCCGGGCGGTGAGAAATACCGTTGGCACAGGTTGCTCTGCTATCAGCTGCATTTTAGCTCCCTTATCCTGACCCCAATCAGGCACATTAGCGAAGTGCACCCTCCCGAAAGTGTTTAAGGGTAGGTAGGTACCCCACCCCATGGAGAGACAGGAGCTTTGTCCCAGTATTTTACGATCACTTTCCGTCTTGAAGCAAAATCTTCGACTGCGATCCCTGCCAACAACAGCAACAAGGTGGCTCCGAAAGTCGAAGAATCATAACAAAAGGACGAAGATCAAAGCGCAACAGGCGCAGCCGTGGCAGTGAGTAAAGTTTCATTGCCATGAGAAGTATGGAATACCTTCGCTGACCATGTTTGTCGAAGACCAAGCCAGCACGACAGGCAGCCTCGCCGTCCAGAATCCGGAGCCCACCCCGACTACGACTCCCTCCGCTTCCCTGTCAAACCCAGAGGTGGTCGCCACCACCATAGCCGACACGAGTACAACTGTGATTGGTTTGTCATACTGCCGGAGTCTACACTATGCCCCCAGTCACAATACGCTTTCTGATGTCCTAATAATAAGAATTAGCAGTTCCCGATGCCACTGCCCTTGCCGCCATGCAAGATGGTGCTGCCAATCATACCACCGCCCAACAGACGACTGGGACTGAGGATAATGACACCGCAAGAGACATTTTTGTGTTCACCGGCAGCACCGAACCAACGTGGCAAGAACTTCCAGACAATCAATTCAAGGGAAATGTGATGCCGATTCTGGCAGAAATATCTGCTGAAAACTGAGGAAGATTGCCCTGTGGTTTTCTACATCCACTCCCCTCAGCCATTCGATACCTGCTTAGCCGCTAAGCGCCAACAGAAAATAAACATAAGAAGTTGAAAATAGAACCGGGCGGCAACCATCACGACACACACTCTATTTCCAGCTCCGGCAGGACGAGGTACCTCATCTATCTACCATGACGCGTCTATTGACACTTAATTACACATTCATTCCGAGTTTCTCATAATCGTTGCATTCTCCACTCATGTTCGCCAAGCCTGGGTGGTATGTGAGCATGTTTGAAAAGCGGTTATATCGGTGCATATACTATTCGCTAGCCTGGAGTGCGGCTGTCACAGTTAACCCAACGGCAGGTCGCGCAGTATGTGGGGCGCAGGACGTCCCCAGCCAATCACTAGGAAAGTCAGGAGACAGCCAATTTGGGGCTGGCCAGAGAGTGCTATGACGCCAAGACCCACGAGCACTCTGCAGGATGCAAGATGCTCGGGGTGATCGAAGGCATAGCACGACGAGCACTCTGCAGGATGCAATGTGCTAGGAGTGATCGGGGCCATAGCACGATGAGCACTTCGGGGTCTCAAGGTCCATATATACGGAGGAACTGGCTGGTGTAGATAGACACTTCCGCACTATGCAATAGAAGTCACAATCGTTGGTATTCAGATTATTGTGATTGAGACAAGCCATTGTTGTACACTGTTTAGCTGTACCGAACCAGGATTGTTCAGAAGTGCCTTCAACCAGTATCCCTTTCAGAGGTTCTGGATAGGGGTTCGTCACAGAGCTAGATTACGGGGTTAATACGTAACTTTATTTTATAACTCCGTATTTCGACTTAATTACTTACGCCCGGGCATAGGGCCCATAAGTAGGAGATTAGCCAGGTGGGCGGTCTTACGCTTACGGCGGTAGACAGCCGCCTAAGGTAATACAGGGACGACCAGTATCGCCCGTTCAGCGGGATCCCGATCGTTATGTTCTTCGGCGACTTCTTCTAGTTCGACCCGGTCCGATGGACCAGCCTCCTCCTACCCGAGCCCAGGGACGGCGGCGTGCGGAAAACGGAGAGCTTAGCGAAGCATCTGGCAGCGCACAAGCTGTTCCTCCAGTTCACGAACGTCGTCATCCTCCGCGAGCAGGCCCGCGCGGCCGGCTGTCCAAGGCTGCGGGGCTTCCTAGGGCGCCTGCGCAACGGCAAGCAGACCGAGCTGGACTTCCAGCGGCTGTGCCGCCGCCTTTATACGCCATCGTCTCAGTCCACTTTCGTAGACGGCCTCAGAGCCATCACGCCGCTGAATCGGGACCAGTGGGACCTGAACATGGCCGCCCTCGTCCAGTGGACTCGTGCGCACGGCAGGCATATCTCCATCTTCGTGGCCAAGCACGACACCGAGTCGGGGAGGCGGTTGGGCGTGGAAGAGCTGCGCAACGTGCTCCGGTACGGAGATGACTCGCAGCTGTCGATGCCCGGCCTGTTCTTCTATGCGCAAGGGATGCCGGTGGTGGTGACCCGGAACCAGTTCGCCGGGCTGAAGGTGGTCAACTAGGCGCCTTTCCGAGCCGTTCGACATCCTTCCCGATTTCGCCTCCGGCACCATCGCGCTCGCCAGCGATGTAACTTTGCATCTCGGACGTCCTTGTCAACCTTAAAGGCGTCCACCCGAGCGGCACGGCGACGCGGCCCAGCTTTATGAGCCTTTACGTGCAGCTGTCGAGGGCGGAGAGGTGGGAGGGGCTGCAACTCTTTCGCAGACCCGAGCGGGGCGACTTCTTTGAGCGGAGGAACGTGCTCGACAAAGAGATAAGGGACGCCATCCGCGGGCTGGAAAGTCGGGGCGAGGAGACCAGACAGCGGTTCGAATTGGACCACGGGCACGAGACGTGGTTTCAGAAATAGCAATCTATGCCTGAATCAGCCCCAGCTCCTAAAGCCGCCGACGAAGAGGACGCGACCCTCTAGACTGAGGCGGCAACCTAACGCAAGAAACTTCTTTCACGGTTGCTTCCATAGTTATATATATCTTTGCATGACGTTCTCGTCTCTGCGGCCTTCGGGTCAGAGGCGGGTGCACAGTGATGGTGACGGTCGATACTCCGAACCTCGGCAGCCGGCCTGCTTGTCTCCGGCGAGTAACGAGCCAAGAAAAACGAGCCAAGAAACGGGTAAACGGCGTCTCCGACCGAGATAAGTGTGGAAAGAACAACACAATCACGAGTTTAATAGGACGAACTAAACGACACTGTTTTCGAAAGCGGGAAAGGGGAGGAGAAGAGATGGTCTGAGCTTAGGTAGGGGCATGGTTTTTTCGTCCCAACGAACCTTCCGGAACAAAGTTCCTCCAGGCAAAGTTCCTCTAGGCACATAAATGTTCCTCCAAGCACGTAGTTATGTTCCAGCTTCCTCCGCAAACTGTGGGTTACAGCAGGCAGCAGAGACAGTCCGGATACTGACCAGGCCTTAGACCGGAGAGAAGCCAAGGCCCTAGCGGCTAAGCTCGTCTTGCGATGCTGCCGGCTGTCGTACGTCAGAGTCTCCGACTGGGCCTGGAGGATGCAGGCGAGCACCTACGAGGGCGAAATGCCTAAGCTGACGGCCCTGGAGGACGTCAAGGGCACGCTGCCGCCGGCGTTCGATTTCGGAGTCGTCAAGTCGTAGCGCAAGAGTACGAGCAAAGGAGGAACTATTGAAGTACATAGCGCTTAGGTTCGGGAAGCAGTAGGTATGCAAATGCTTTTATCCCGCTTGCAGCGGTCGGCTTGCTCGCCGCGGCAGTAAAAAAGACTCGGTGTTTGGTCGTCCGATTCGTGACTGCCTCTCAAGCTACTATAAGAGTAGCGTTGGGATCATTGCGTTTGGGAACCGCCAGTGCGGGTCCAGGCACACGCGACGAGCCCGTCGACGGTTCGTCGCCTGAATAAGCCATTGCTGAGGCCCTCCTCGAGGCACTGGTACGCACTTGATCTCTTCTTCTGGTCGAGAACCAGCATGTCCTGCAGCAACTCAACATCGACACCCTCCTCCTGGTCATCCAACTGATTCGTCAGGATGTCCACCCAGGTCTGGGACAGGCACGCCACTGGTCCCGAGACACCTTGGGGAAGCGCACCTGATATATATTGGGTAAACTATAGGAAAAGAAACAGAAAAAAGCAAGAAAGGAGGAAAAAGAAGGGAAGGAGGGGAGGAGAGGAACACAGAATAGTAACGTATATGGGGATTTTCCTTCGCAAGGGTATATTCTCTCCGAATCCCAATGAGCTATGCTGGGTCGGTCTCCCCGCGGCGCCTCTTTTTGCTGGTCGGCGGCGGCGTGAAGACCTTGCCAGCGAAATACTGGCCGTCGCGGGCTCTGATGAGCCGGAACACGCGACCGAATATGCCGCTCCCGATTTTACGTTCTTTGAAATAGATCAGGCGTTCAGAGGTGGTCTGAGCTTCACTCGGCGGTTCGGTCACAGCCGGGCTGACCAGGTCGAGGCCGTAAGGCCCGGAACTTCGTCTTCCGTAGCTTTCTTAATAAGTGCGCGTAGGTTTTCAATATACTGTGCCTCTTTGCCTTGGTGGTTGGAAAACTCGATGAGGATGGCGAGACCGCTCGAGGCAACGGTGATGAGGCGAAAGGAACTCTCCGCGCCGGGATCGAACGCCAGGATCCACATCTCATTTAAACGTATCTCC